GACTTGCATCTCCGTTCTCGGTAGGAGGTTGTGATTGTTCCCAATCGCATCCAACATGTGTACCCAGTATCGCCGAGCGATGCAGACATCAAATTTGAACAGTTTTTTAGATTGTTCATGGCAGGATCCAGATCCAATTAGGTTCGAGTGCCAACAAGGTGTAAATCGGTGTCAGCTGCTTTGCAAACGTGGTTTGTCGTTGTTCACGTTTGACGTGTGGCGCATATGGCTCAAACCCAGCATTGTCACAGCAATGCCGCATGGAGCTTGCTACTCCCGGTGCATCTTTGCTGCGCAGTGTTTGTGTGCGTTCTTCAAAATTGGTATCGTGGACGATGCACATTTAACAAACTTCCAGCTGCCAAGACTGGAACCTCTAACGACGTTGGCGTTGCACCCACCGACTTCGGCAGTGCCGGGCTTCATAAAACAGCAGCGCGGCTGTTTTGGTGCCTGAGCATGTTCTGTTGTCAGTTCTATTGGTAGGGGCAGAAACTTGCAGCGAATCAGGCATGCTTGCAATTGTTTTGGCGAACCTGATCATTGCGACCTACGCAGATAAAAGCCCGGAATTAGCAACGTGGCTGCATGTATCTTTGGAACAAATGACATGCTGAATCCAACTCCTCAGTTGCAGTGATGGTGTCTTGTGAGGTTTTTTTGGTGGCTGTCGTCGCGAAGCTAGGTTCAGGTTGCTTTTCGACGAGCGCCGCATGAAATCTTCTGAGGTCCAAGATTTGCTTCATGAAGCGCCTGCCGGGTCCATGGTGCTATTGCAGGAAGTGTTTTGCAGTGCACGCAGCACGGTTTTCAGAACGTTGACCGTGCTTGTTTGCAGGAAAGTGTGGCGTTGAAGGATCATGTGGCGAACCACAAGACACGTGATTTTGGAAAAATACGTTTACGGCCTGGGCAAACGCCAATGCTGCCAGAGGAGTGTGGGCCAAGCAGTAATATGAAAACAATCCATGCCATTGATGTCGTGCAAGCCCTGTGTTTTCAACAGAGTGATGACAATATCTTCTTGCTGATGACTGCAGGAATCAAGCCTTATTCAGAAGCTGCAGCAAGAGCCCACGACGACTGTTACCAACCAGTGCCAGACTTTGGAAGTTGCGATTGTGTGCAAGTTGGGCTGCCATTGGGCTGCCAGCTTGGCTTGAGCTTCGGGCATGAGGTCGTGGTTTTCCCGACTTGGCGAATCCTTTGGGAGTGTGCTTGTTGGCCTTATTCTCATACCATTTTCATTGGCAGCTTGGTCCCTTCATGTCCTTTCATTTCAGCGGTTGCTCTTGATTTTGCAACTGTTTCCCTCGGGCTCCTGATGTTTAAGGCATTGATGTGGATGAATGAGCGCAGAAACGCCCAGCAGGAGATGCAGTGCAGGTTTCTGCAAGTTATTGGACCAGTGGTGAAATTCGGATTGCGAAATATGGCTGCTACGCTTGCCAACGCAGGAAAGCATCCTGAGCCTGGGACTGACAGAGGCGCCTCGCAAGTGCCCCCGGTCCTGTTCAAACGGTTTGCACGGTTGCTTCCGTAAAGTTCATGTTTTTGAAGTTTCAATGTTTTGAAGCAATGAGAGATTCTTTCTTGGAGTGGGCGACTTTGTGTGCAGGTGCAGAGCATTTCTTCGAAGTGCTTCTGCAGCAGTTTCATAGGGCTTTTGGTAGCACTGTTGTGATTTCGCTTGCTTTGCAGCGGTAGCTGAGTCCAGGCTATGCTTCATTAGTTTTGTGGAGCTGGCCCTTGTTCACGGCCAACTGGGTCCAAGGTCTGTCGATGAAAAGTTGCACGGGACGTTGCTCGGTTTGTTTTGGGAGATTGCGCCGATTACGCATTGAAGGCTAGTCATGCTCGTGCTTTCAGCTGTGGCACGTGACAAGTGCCGAGCATGTGCCCCAAACCTTCCCAAGACGCACTTTCCAAGGTTTTCCGTTCGAGGTGCCATGTGTAAGGCTTCTCTTTCAACCCATTGCGCTTTTGGGAAGAGTTGGCTCAGACAAATTTGCCCTCTTTCTCAAGCTGACTTGTTCAATCTCACAGGAATGAGGACCTTGATTTATTCTAGAAACCAAGCCAGAGCCTGTGTCTGCAGTTTCTCTCCCCGGCACGAAGGTTGGTTCACGTGAACGATGCGGATGCAACAGGCATGGATGAGATGAAGGAGATGTGACATGGATAGGTGTCGCATGGGTAAGGGGTACCCTTGCATCTTCCTGGAGCCTCCGCGCGTAGGATTTCCTAAGTCCATCTACCTCCACAAAAGTTTTCAGGTCTTCGGGCGTTTTGCACCAAACCAGCAAGCCAATAAGTGCGCACAAACAGGTTACTCTGTGAACTTTCTGATTCTACTGTGCTCTACCTTTATGCTTTGGACCTTATAACATTTTGGCCTGAGATGTTGCTAGCTGCTAGGCCCTGCTAGGCTGCTAGAGCCAAGAGAGGACCGGCGCTTCCCAGCTCTGTGCATGAGCAGCGGCTGCTTGAGGCAGTCGCGCATGGTGTTCGAAATTACGTCTTCCCAGAGTCTAAGGGGCTTGGATACTTTCCTAGCCCAGTAGGTTCTGAATGGTTTTTAGAATTCGCGGGTGACTGTGTAGGGGCTTGTTTGAGGATGCGGGGTGTGGACTTGTGAGCTTATGGTGCAAGAGCTTGACGCCATTTGTGTTCTCTACCTTCTGCCAGGCTGAAGAGTGAGGTCCAAGTGTACCAGTGGAAAGAGACCAAGAAGGAGGAGAAGAAGAAGGACTCATTGGGTGGTGGTGAGACGACGATCACCCGGTATGAGTATTCCAAGATCTGGTCTGGTACCCAAATTGATTCGGCGTCATTTAACCAGCCTTCTCATAGCAACTCGATATCTGTTTCTGGTCTGAACTGTGGCACGGAAGAGACGACCAACAGCACCGTCAAGTACGGCGACGCTGGGCAGAATTTTGAAATTCCTTCACTAAAGACACTGAGACCTCAATTCTGGGACTTTTCCGGTTCTAAGCGTGTTGACGGTTGTGTGGGTGCTGGTCCAGTTAACGCAGCTTCGCAGGAGAGTCTTCTGTTGTTCCGAGGATAGCCATTACTTGCCGCAGCCGTTGGTGCAGCAGCTGGGCGACTGGCAAGATGCAAATGGCTTGATCAAAATCGTCGAGTTCGGTGGGAAGCGCTTCGAGAAATCAGAAGACTGGTGCCCTGATTGATGATCACACTCGTACTGGGCATGGATAAACGGTATCTGTGTCGAGCCTTTATGCTCGAGGGGCTCATTCTGTGTCTGTGAGGTTCTTCTACCCAGGCGCTGCCGCCGCAGCACCCACAGTGGGTAGTGTACCTTGGATGTTAAGTGGTCGTGTTTGTCAAGCAGATTCCGCAACTGTACCACCCGGTCTCAGGTGCGCGTCCGCTTCAAGTACGTGCAAGATGGACCGGCTTCGGTCATGGCGCTGCAGACGGATGACAAGCAGCATCCCAATGCAGAGCCTTGTCCATTGAAGAGCTGGCTGCAACACCTGTTGTTTCAAAGTGTTGGTCGCATGCAAAGCATGCCACAGCTGTGTGATTGAGGCCACATTCTTACCATATCGGCTGGTTTACCGAGGTTGGCCCATGATCTGCGAACTAAACCGCAACAGCAATGCACAACACCTTGTGTTCCACTGAAGCATGCTTGTGCCGCAGTTGAAGCTTGAGATGGTAGAGTAGCGCGAAAGCACGGCAAACCTCTCCTGGCAGGCTTGTGTGGTGGTATCTCGGGAGACGCCCTGCAAGAGGCCCTCTTGGCTCAGGGATCCAAGGATGGTGAAGAGCTTTACGAGGAGGACCTGGAAGTTGGCTCTGGCAGCACTTTTTACGGCTCTCTATGGGGTTCTTCCCCACAAACTGTTGGGGTCCTCTCCTCAGAATTCAAGAGGAACGCGCCGGGTTGGCATGCCGGGTTGGCACTCGGGCATGTTCGGGCCACGTTCCTCCATCTCCCGATGCGGGCCCCAGCTCATGGGCAGCTTTGATACGCATATGCTGTCATATGCTGCATGTAGAAACAGTATGCCGTAGCATCTGAGTTCGCCCACTTTGTCACACTGTGTGGCCCGGCTTTGCCCGAAACTTAAACCTGTATGAACCCGCATGAACCCTGCCAATATGTTACAGGATGACGAAATGGTCATGCACTGCTACAAAGATGAATAGCAAGACTATGGGGTTTTCAGTTTTCAGCGCTTTTTACCTACACAAACTGCATGCTTCGACCTTGTTGTGGGGCATGAGGCTTGCACGACATATGAAAGACTGTAGAAGTCGTGCTGACCTGCTGCACTTTGGATGCCCAGCTTGCAGCTGTTTGAGCAGCAGGAAGCCTGCAACACTGGTCCGCTTGCGTGCCTATGTTGCTGCTGCGAGCCAAGACCGGTGGTTGTGCTGTGATCCAATCTGGTAACTAGTACTCATTGAAGCTGATGGGGTTCCAGTGCAGGACGTCGCGCAGCGACTCCCAAACCCGAAGTTTCGTAGAATTCCCCAGGATGTTCTTTCGACCATCCGCCCGACCCAGGCTGCAACCTGATCACCAGGTGCTTCTCCCACTTGGCTCCTCCGCAGGTCTTCGAAGCTCGTCCTCAAAATGGCAGGCGAAGAGCCCTAAGGAATCCTGAAGCCAGAAGCCCTACGATGACGACAGTCCTTGCCGGAAACTGTAAATCCCCAAGCCCGGAAGCCTGAAGCCTCAGGCCTAAGTATGCCTCAATCGCAAAGGCCCCAAGCGTGCCTGAACTTTACAATCCCATCAGAACCTGGTGGCCTTGTCAGTACCCACAGCAGTCTCAAGGCTGCATTTCATGGGCGCAGCAGCCCGGAAGAGTGCTTCCAGAAGCTGGCCCTGCCACTGGGCCAAGTTGAGGTAACATGAGCTGCGCAGCACTTAGACTTGTGGCATCTTGTGGCCATGGTAGAGAGAGTCGTGTAGAAGAGTACAGTGACATTCATCACCCACGCGCAGGTTCGGACAGATGCTGAAGTGGGGACTGCGGCTGCTGTCCTGGCTCCTGCTGTATGCTGGCACCTATGCCCTCTTTCAGCCATTGCTGGCTTCATGTTCGCATTGAGCCTGCATCGCTACACTGCTCAGCCCACTTGTAGCCCAAAAGAAGCTGGTGCCGTGGCATCGGAAGGTTTGCTGACTGTGCCACGTTAGAGCGCCGAAGAGCCTGCGTCATGATGTGTGATACACTGTTGATAGGCAAGATTGGCAAGTTCTGTGTGGTGGAAGTCCGCAGGTCGTCCTTGACATCATCCCGTTCCTTGGGCCTTACATCAGCAGCGGAGCGGGTTGGGTCGTTGGCTTGGCAGTATTCCTCGTAACTGCTATGCTGGCCACTTTGGTCATCTCCATTGCCTTCCTCCTGTATCACCCGCTGGTGGGCTTGACCTATCTGGCCTGTGCCTGCCTCAGTGTCCAAGAGTCACAAGAGCCAAGAGTCGTCTAAACCAGTCGACCCCGCAGCACTCTTGTCGAACGTTGAACTCTGCCTCAACATGGTAAGGTGTTGGCCTTCTCGTCGGTGCGACGATCGGCATCTCGCGTGCGCTGTCCTAGCGTGTTCCCACCACTGCAATTACACAAGGCGGTTTCCCAGAACGTCATAGTGGTCACAGCAAGGCCACGTCTCGCACTCTGCAGTTGAAAAGCCCGATTTTTGACAATGCCTGTGACTTGCGGATGTGACGTCCTATGTGTGCTGTTCGGCAAGTTCGATCGTTGGAGCGGTGCACCAGGCTTGACCTTCTGAGTTTGTTCAAAGGCATCCATCGTGTGGGTCCTGTCTCATGCTCAGTCAAGGACCCCCGCCCTCAGATCAAAATTAAGACGGTTTGCTTCCTAGCATAACCTGTTGGGTTTGCGGAGACTGGGGTTGCTACGGTACGAGCACAGCCCAAAGCTTGTGTCGAGTGTTTGCCGAACAGTGCCATGGGCATGACATCAACTCCACCTTGGTTGGTGTCGTTGGTGCTGCTGGTTGGGATTCTGCCCTGTGCTTTGTGTGATGCGTTGGAACCGTTGGCACCAGTTAGAAGATGTTATGTGCCACCTATTCGGCACGGAAGCGGCTGCACACGAATACAATCACTACAGGGACCAGGCTTTGGGCTCAACCGGTACGGACAGGAGACAACAGCGCAGCGGCAGTGTTTGAAGAGGCTGCGTGAGGCCACGGTGAAGAAGAAAGCCTGCCCTTGTTGTCTGAAAAGCTAGGCTAGCCGGTAAGACGAACTGCTTTCCCTCAGGTTGGTGCGAACACTTTCGTCTTTGCTCCTGGCCTTTGTGATCTGTGGAGCTGCAGCTCAGCAGAGTCGCTGAAAGGGGGAGACGGTCCCGACAACGTTACTGCGCAACGGGAAGGCATGGAGAGCGCTGAGGGCGCTGCGCGTGCTACCGGACTGTCAGTTTTTTCCGAGCTTTGCGAATACCAGGAGCTTACCCCGCGTCCTGGAACTCGTCGCAGCCCTATCTTTGTTAAACTCTGGGAATGGAACTACGCAGATATTGGCAGGGAGTGCCAAGAGTTTCTGGGACCGAACGGCTTCGACGCTGTCCAGGTGTCGCCCGTGACTGAACACAAGCTTGGTCCCCAATGGTGGACAAAGTATCAACCCGTGTCCTTTTCGCTGAGCTCGCGTTCCGGCTCCATGGAAGATTTCGCATCCATGGTAGCCACCTGTCGAGCAAGCGGCGTGCAGGTCGTGGTAGACCTCATCCTCAATCACATCGCAACCCCGTGCAAAGAGGGGCGTGGAAGCCCTGTGAACCTGACGCCGTGTGTTGGCTGGAATGGAAGCCTCTACGGCAACCGGCGCTTGGCCGGTGCAAGAGGTTGGGATGCGGCGGGTCCCGAGCTGTTTAATCATGTAGAAGGGTCCCTTATGGAGAACTGCATCGTCGGTCCTCCCAGCTGGACTTGCAAGGCCGGGAGTGTCGATGTCACTGACTGCAGCTGCTGCAGCTGTGACTTTCTCAAGCTTCCGGATTGGAATACTGGCTTACAAGAGGTGCACGACATGCACTTGAGGCACGTCCACGAGCTGCACGACATAGGCGTGACCATGCTCCGGATTGACCTATCGTTGTTTGAGTCCATCGCTGAACTCAGCAACGTACTCAGCACGGTCCCTTGGGACTTTGTGTACCAGGAGTGGTGGTGGGAGAAGCCGGATCCAGTGCGCAATCGCTACATCGGACATTTCCGCGACATTACCTACCGATACCTCATCACCCACTACTTGGGCAACTCATCGCTGGCAAAGTTACCAGAAGTACTGACATTGTCGCGAGGACATGACAAGATCCGTCCTGAGACGAGCATTTATCCCATGGCCTTTCACGATGGCCGAACCTGGAAAGCCAATCCTGGAAATGCCACCTACAAGAGCCCTGGGTTGTACATGGTCATGGTATGTATTAGCATGTCTTGATGTTTTTGCAATATGTCTTAGCTGAACATGTTTTTAACGAATGCTGATCTGTTCCAATCTGCTTTAGTATCAATGTGTCTTTAGTATGTTCTAGCGATCCACTGCAAGGGTTCTCCTAAGCGGCCACACAGCCTTTTGGTGGATTTTTTCTTCCAATCGTGCACAGCGAAGGGTGTTCTTGAAAGCTGTTGTGTTGAGATTTCGGCGGCCCTTAGAGGAACGGCCTGGAGTTCCACCAGCAGCAGAAGTTCATGCTGGCTTGGCCGCTGGGTGCCTCCGTGCTGCGCCTCGCCATTTGCTTCGTGTACTCTTTGAGCTTGCGAACTTTGGGGAGTGTTTCAGATATCAAGATCTATCGAGTTGCCCAGTTTCGTACACATTGCTCCTTCTGCACATTGTACGGCCATAACAGTCGGCCCCGACTATGTCAGGCTGTGGGGCGGCTTTGGATGGTCTGCTATGAGCGATGGGCCACCAGGTTGTGATGTGGCTCGTCACCATGTTAGATTCTTGATGTGTTGATACCAAAGATCATGTGTCTAAGCATTAAAGTTTAAAGTATGGGCCCTACCATGGGCCCTCGAATCCAGTGTTTCGAAACCCTCAACAGCTAATGTCAGGACCCCAAGTTGCGGTCTCATACTTTAAACATTCGAAAGAGGCAGGCGCAGGCAGATGCAGCTGAGTAGGGCGTGTGGGGAACAGTATCTGGCATACGAGTGACAAGTTGTGGTAATCGGACGATTACCCTCAGCTTTCAGCTGTCATTCATTACTTGAGACTTCCTGTCTTCCCTGCCAGTTTCGTGGCGAGAAACGCTGCCAGCCTGAACCTGTGTTCGTCGATGGCGAGGACGGTAGGCAGTAATGCTTCTTACTCCAGCCGAAGTAATTTTGCCTGTATGCCTCCTTGTGCCACTCCTCCCGAGCTTCTGCAGCCTGCTTCATCTGCCCCAGAGGATCATGTCACTTTTTGCTGATGTAAGTTGATGTATTCAGAGCGCTGCACAGCAAAGCCCGCGCTCGCCAGGCCCAGTGCATGCCGACTCCACGCGAGTCACCCTTGCCAGCAGATCTTGCCATGAAGCGTGGCTGGGTCTGTGAGCATCGATGGGAGGGGGTGGCTGGCCTAATCGAGCCTTGGCACTTCAGCGTAGCGTAATGCTCTCATTTCCGTGACAAGTCGAACGCTCTGGCAGTTTGCGCTCCTTGAGGAGTTCCGAAAGGCCTGCCGGGGCCTGCCAGTGACGAGAACCTGGAAGGCCAGAATCTGACTCGGGTGATGTTGAAGGCATTGAAGGGTTGAGGGGTTTCGAGGCTCTACGGATATCTAGGGACCAACTTTATGGCCTGAATGCTTGTATCGTCTCTTAAGTAAAAGCTTCGCAGTCCGGTTCTGACATGTTTCTAGCACGAGTGTTAGAGGTTAGAGGTTGGCAAAGGGAGCCGGTACATCAATTTCCAGCACCTCCCTTTCATCCCAATTCCACCTCCTCCCAGGAGCCCGAACTCAGTTCGGGTCGTCTCGCCTTCCGTGCTGGCGAGGACGGTGTAAGCGCGGAGGGCTTTAAAAGCGGAGATTAGGCTGAGGGCCTCTAGACGTGTTTCACTTTCTCTTCTGCTACGCGGTCTTGATGAGGTCTTCCTTTGAATGTCAAGCTGTTGAGACTGAGGGCGTGCCCTGCAAACATACAAAACCCAACTGAGGCAACCTCTCCACCCCACACTGTGGCCTAGAGAGGACTGCTTCGCCGCGCTTGTCCGCGGCTACAACACGCAGCTGCAGTCGACTTGGGGTCATCTGGGCATCTCAGCAGCAGGTTGATCACAAAAGTACCAGTTTGCAAATGAAAGCTGTGAGTTCAGCTTCAGAAGAGACATGCAGCTCACAGACGCTCACAGATGCTGGCAGACGCTCACAGACGATACAGACGCGCACAGACGCTCACAGACGCTCACAGACGCTTGCAGACGCTCACAGGCAACTGGTTGCTGGACGGCCTTCATGTGGGCCTTCCGAGCGGCCGGTACTGTGATCTGGGATCGCTGTCCACGCAAAGAGGATGGGACCGCAAAAGGTGCCCCAGGCAAGTCGTGATCGGTACAGATGGGAGGACACGGGCTGAGTCGGGGTTGATCGGTTGGTCGGTTGGTCCTTGCTCCCGGTTCCGTATTGATTCCACATATTTCTTGGTGCAGGATTCTCAGTGGCATCGTGTTGGAAGGTGACCTGCTGGCCATTCACGTGGGCGGCAGGATGTCCTGATTGCAACTTTCATGGACCAATGCCGTCCGAAGGTATGTTGAATTTATTGGAATTCGTTGTGGTCTTCACTGTACATAGGCATGCTGCTCATGCTGGTCATGCTGGTGGTCTTGTCGGTACAACGGGCCTGGGCACTCCGGCTTAAGCAGAGACTTGCCCGCCGGTAGTAGGGCCTCTTTTGACCGGTGGTAGACCAGCAGATCCCTTCCTGGACTCCTTGTATTTGGCTGGCCACAGCTGCTAAATAAGTGGGAGAACAAACTGAGGGAAGCTGGGGGTCCAGCGATTCCAGCGGCATTACATGAATCTCAAGAAGCTTCTAGATCGTTTGAAAGCAACTGCGTGGGGGATCGTTCATATGCCCAAAGCTGGCTTCCACCATCACCTGTCTGCGGGGACCGTAAGGGAAGACGAGCAGGTTGAATCTTTGAAGGTTCCCTTTTCGACATCCACGCGGGGCACGTTATGGGACGAAACAGCATCGCCATGTCATATCCACATTTAAGTGCACGACACGAAAACTGCTTAGCATGTGTATAGTCCATGCGCCTGTCGGTATTGTTCGGTTCAGGCGCTTGCTTTTGCGATGCCTTGAATGGTGGTGTTCATGCAGTCGTATCAGTAGTGGCCGGGGTGCCTTGAAGCCTTGAATTGCGTTGATCTGCCTTGAAGCCTAAAGCTGCTTTGCAATGTACTCCAAGTTGTTTCAAACACGAGTTGCGCGATGAGCCATGCAGCCCTCGTTGCCAGATCAGGGGCGCTCCTGCGACAGGCCAGTTCTTCTTCAGAATGTTCAGACGTGCGGCTTTGAGCAGAGTCTGCTGGAGGATGATCCAGAAGCGGCTTTGGAGCCGCTTGGCATCTCTTAGCCACATTCGGCAACTTAACGAACGATGTGGAGTGTTTTGCGAATGCTGCTGAGGTGCGCAAACGAAGCTTTAGAGTCTGCAGGCGGAGCGGCTGGGAGCAAGGCCCAACATGGTCAGTGAGCTGTGAAGCTGTCTTTTACGTGTCAAAGAGCTTCAAAAAGAACTGTTGGGAGGCTGTGGAGCTGTCAGCGCTCTGTGCCTGTGTTGATGCCCACGTGGCCTTGGGCGATGACTGGGCCTTGGACAACGGATGCTCACAAGTCTTGGGTTGCTACGGTACCCGGTTATTTCGGTCTTTTCCGCACATCATCATGGTAGCTTCGTTTAGGTTCTTCTTCTGTTCTCTGAGGCCCAGAAGGCCGTGGGTCGAGCAGAAGAGGCGGGGCTTGGGCGGTTCCTGGAAGGCGAAGCTGGCATGGCAGAGCTGATGAATGCTGCAAAGCGAGGCCATTTCGAAGGCAGACGCCTTCGAAAGCAATCTGTCCAAGGCCCTGCACGTAGAGCCATGCAATGTAGAAAATGAATGTCCAATGCGTGTGCAATTCCTTTCTCTCCTCGCCAGGCAGCTGCGCTTCTTTCGCTGGTGAAGGCGCAGCTGATGGGACACCAGGCTCGGTCTGGAAACAGGTTGGCTGTGCGAAACCAGAGAACGTCAGTCATGGACATGAAGGCACCGTGCTTCTCATTTAAGCAACAGGGCTCTCTCTCTCTCTCTCTCTTTTCCTTTCGCGCGCTCTGCGCCGAGCATACTTCTGCACGTTGCACTGTAGCTGATGTGTCAACCTCTCAATATGGTTAAATCCGATGAAGTGCTTGGTAAATGTGTTGTTGGCGCTGCTAGGTCTTGCTAAGCGCAAGTCAGAACTGTTCTGAGAAGAAAACGGAAGGGGTAGCAATCATCAGAACCAAGAGTAGCAGTAGCATTAGAATCATGAGAGGAACTAAGACAGCATGGTAGGAAGTGAAAGTGAAAGGTAGGTGTGGTATCACCAACATTCAAGTTAACAAGCAAGGCAGCAGTTGGGGTAATTACCGTGTGAGAGTGGTGAGAATCGTGATGGAGCTGTAGTCCTTGTAGGCAGCCACTGCAGCAGTGTCGGAAATGTAGCGATCTCGTGCAGGAGTCGAAAGATGCCTTGGCGGTACTTCGAGAGATCGGCGCCACATGGGGTGAGACGGTGCCAAGACTAAAGGAAGTAGTTGTCTTGAGGGTTGTGTGAAGGCCTGTAGGTATTTGTGACACGACATGGTGGCCATGTTGCACTGCGGGATGTCTTCTCTGACAAACCTGCTTCTCCAAAGAGAAGGGCCGTTGACGGCAAGAACATGTAAGACCAGTTGTGCATGCATGCATTATGGTATGGCTCCTTGTTCCTTGTGCCAGCCTTGGTTTCAGGCTTTGTTGCTGGGACTGGCGCAAGAAGCCTCGAAGGAGATTGCCGTACGCAGTAGCCAGCGTTTTGCATGTAGGCCACTACAGCAGCTTGTGACTATTCAGGCGTCATTGCGCGTAAGCCTTCTCTGCGGACTGTCAAAGCAGGAGTCCGTCCAGGGCCCTGCTCTGCTGGAGCAAGCCCGGCGGAAGAAGAACAGGCCGGCGGGTGGAATTTTCGGAGGTTTCAGCTAACAGTACAGCAAATGCCAGCATTCTTGCCAGAATCTGAGTTTTGTAAAATGTGGAAGAGCGAGAGGATACGAGAGGATACAATGAAGCGGGGCGTGCACGTGCACCAGGGCTCTCCCCCAAGCCCCACAATAGCATGCAGAACACACGCGGTCTTGCTGTCCACTTCTGAGGTGGCAAGAAGCCTTTGCACTGCTGGTTATCACCTTGAGTTCGCTGCCCAAGGCGGGTTTAGAGTTGAGTTGTTTGACCTTCGCGAGTGTCAGCCTCTGTCGCGAGTGCATTAGGGGGCTTCGGTCGCCACTGTCCCAGGCTTAGTTGTCTTCGCTCGTTTAGGGTCTTTCGAGATGACTGCCAAGGCCAAATTAGCTTTTACGCGAATTGCACGATTTTGCTCTCCTAACGTTTGCCTTCGTGGAGGGGAGACAAAATTCATCCAGCTTCCTAGTTGAAAGCCCTGGAGTCCTGGGAGTTCTGTCTTGGGGGTCCATGCGAAAAAAGTGCTGTCAGCCAAATGGAGAATGTCTGAGCTCCAGCTTTACATCTTAGTGGCTCAGTGAATCTGCGGGGTTCACGGCGACCAAGGCCATCGGCAACTTCCTGGCCTTTGCCAAGCAGCATGGAGTTCATGTTGGAGCTACGGACGCTGCCTCGAGCATTCGGAGGCACGCCGCTGCGTCCACGCCGCTTACACCAGCTTTTGCGACATGTTTCCCCAGGTTGCACAGCTACGGTGGGACCATGCAGGACCTCGAGGAGACTCCAGGGGCAAAATTAAAGCGGATACACATGGGATCGGCAAAGTGGGTAGTTCAGCCAATGTCCTAACTTTGGCGGGGGGGGAGAAACGGCTTTCGGGTTCCGGGGGCTGGGCTCGAAGATGCTTGGAAGAAAAGCTTTGACACTGACCCCCTTTCCCCCATCTTTCCCCCCTCCCTTTTCGAGAGTGTTTAAGGGAGCCCAAGGACATCCACGACCGCCTGGGAGCGGCTGCCAAGTCCGGGAAGAGGCACGGCTGTGACATAAATGAGGGGGTTCTTCGGGGGCCCTTTCTTGAGTTTCAAGGAAGCTCTTCAACAAGCTGTTAGTGTTTCAGGAGGAGCCTTTTTCATGGTTTTGGGCTGGTCTAGTTTCGGACTGCTGAAGGAGAGCGTGAACGACTCCAAAACTCCGAAGCCTAGATCTAAACTTTGCGTGAGCTGATTTTGAATGCGCCCTCCTCCTCAGCTTTTCTTACCTGCGTTGGTTTTGCATGGTTGCCCCTGCACATGTTGGAGCGCTTATCCGTTTATCGGAGTGAGGGCCTAGACACTTTTTGCCTGGGAGGATAGCTCAAGCTTGGGCCACACTGGACATGGCTGACGCCAAGCTGAGCCAGGGCTCGCAAGCCAAGGCGGGGGGGGGGGGGGGGGGGGGGGTGGTAGGCTCCGGGTCCAGGTTGCAGCGTTCAAGACGTGGAAGCTGGTGTGCTGGGTTTACTGCTTGCTGGCACGACAGGTGAGGTTGTTAGAGTTTAAGACAGCAGTGAAAGCCCATATTCATCACATGCAAGTGCAGTCCTTGTCTCACATGCATGAGCTCCCTCCCGCGCCAAGCAACATTTCTGTCCAACTGCTCCAAGTGTGATTTGTGAGAAAACCTGGGAAACCTGATGGGAGATTTCTGGGGATTCGTTTAGTGGTGCAGAAGCCCCTTGGTCATTCCACAAGTGTTTGCTGGCAGCGAATCCACAACAGAAGCCGTTATCGTGAAATCAATTCTGGTCGTAAGAACAAATGCTTTCAAAGTGAAAACCGTCGTTGATGTCGGCATGAACAGGTTCCGGAACTGGATGATGCGCAGCAGCAGTTGCAGAAGCCAAGTGCTCAGTTGCTTTCTTGCGCTATGCGACTTTTCTCAGGCTTTCAGTGTAGGTAGGTTCACAATCATGTGACGTTTTCCATGAAGTCCAGGAGACCTTTAATGTAGACAAGTTAGTCTTGTTTTGTGATGGAAAACTCCTCTTTTGTGGATCTCTATGCAGGTTGGGCTCAAAGGAAGGGCTGGCCGCGTGCAAGCTGGAGGCGTGTGCCTAGGGTCGCGACTTGGAAGACTGCATAGCAAGTGCATTGCAGCATGGTAGCTATTTGCCCATGTAGCTATCATGCACTCCGAATGTTGGCTACATGTGGATGTTCTGGGCTTATCGAGGTTCGCGTGTGCCGTATCGGCAACCGTCCAACAACCGAAAATTTTCGGCTCACAGGTCTTAATGCAAGGTATTGGGGGGGAGTTGAACTCGACCGATCGATTGGGCTCCAGCCTCAATCGAAGTTGTGATGCCAGGCATGGGGAGAGTCCCGACGCCTATGGCAAATGCGTGCCAGGCTTTGATCATGGTAGCTACTGCAACCGACCACGCGGTGCAGGAGCCTGCAACCAGTATAAACGGTCGAGGAAACGAACATCTGACTTTTCGTGGTTTGTCGTTTTGCACTTTGGAGGATCGGCGAGCAACTCATGCAAAGCTTCCGATGACAAAGCGAAGATTGAAGGCACTGGGCGAGGGTTGAAACAGTGGACTCGCTGTAGCACTGGACACTACAGACCTTTAGCTCTACTCGGCGAGCATGCCAAAGTGTGCCCTTCAAGCGACTTGGTTCTGAGAAGGTGTTGAACGTCGAAGTCGACACCACTGATGCAGGATCAACTTCTTCAGATGCAGAATCAGGCCCGCCTGTTTGATCGTCCGGCATAACACTTGCCTGAAAGACTGTTCCAAGAAAGTCGAACAAAGTCTCGCGATATGATTCTCAGGACGATGCTCGAGTACCGCCGAAGTGTCACCTGCCCAGATGGACCTGCTTTGGCCGTGAGTATCTCAGTTTCGACTCGGCACCTTGAAGTCGCAAAATACTGGTTTCGGTGTTTGTGGGTGTGCACGCTGGCGATTGTACAGTGCCAGGGACAAGCCGCTGCCTCCGGGACAAATCCAACGTGGACAGGAGAGTGCGTGCCGTGCAGATGCCAGTCTGCCCGTTTGGTTGGCTCAGTTACTCGAAAGCGCCCATGGCAGGATTTACCACCGAGATGTAGTCTACCGGCTCAGCTTTCGTGCCAGCAGAGTACATCGATTTGCTAAGCAGTGTCGCACTGTCGCTCCACTCGTTCTGCGCGGTACGCTGCTTCAGGTCTGTTGCCTGGCCAAGTTTTTCGCAATAAAGGTCCGATGGACAATCCCGGCAGCATCCCATGCATGGTGAGTACCTTTTTGTGCACTTCTTTGCTTCTTCATGCTTGCTGATACTTCTTTCACGGCAGAAGACTCATAGTGTCATGAGCTCACATTCACAGAAGCAATAAGAGAAGCCTGGACCCTGGTGTAAGGCACGCCGGACAGCGCGCAGTCGTCGTCGCCCACAGAGTCCCTGGAGGCTTGTGTGAGTTCTGTGCTCTCACCTGTTTTCAATGGTTTTCTTTCCGTCGGCCGACGGTTCAGAGATGGTTTTGTACATTGAGTGCGCATAGTGTGTGCAGTACACTTGAACCAGGCGGTGAGTCGGAAGGGCGACGTGGCTGAACTGTTAAAACATCTTCTTGTGGACCCTTAGGATGGGATCCAGGACCCTGCGTAACAGTTCCCACTTGACGCTTGGTAGCTTGGCTCTGTTCAAGGGTTTTTACAGTCGGGTCCTTTTTGTTGGGGCCTACTTGCAAGAGACTCTATCGGACTCTATCGTAAAGGAAGCGCATAAAGGGATACGACTTCTAGAACACCCATATGTCGGCTCGGAGTATCCGTTCAGACATGCAACCAAGGACGTGGCCAGCCAGCCATCCCCGGATCGGTCCCTAGCATCCCGACCAAACGAGGAGATCCCGCGCGACAGAGACGAGGTGGGCACCACGTGGACTGCCAACGAATGTCATGCAGTGACCCATGCTGCATGAGATTTGCCGAGAGAACCGCATGATGAATGATGTTTGGATTTGATGGTTGTTGTTTCACACGAGGGAGAGCGCATCCGGCCACTCAAAGCAATAAGCAGTTGATGTGTGTCACTTAGAGACCTCAGATGACCCTTGGTGTTCCACGCAGCAAGATTTTTCAGCCCGGCCAGGGCCTGCACAGCGCCCTGCGCCCACTCGAGCCGAGCTTGGTCAGCGTGAGGCGCAGAACAAGAGCCTTTGAGATGCCATGAAAAGTTATTGGACATCAGAATGTCAGCATGTCAGGGTTTAGGGTTTAGGGTCGAAGACGTGTAACAAATGCTGAGAAGCGAAGAGAAGATGCCACGGGACATTACAAGAACAAAGGTAACCAAGCAAGAAGACAGGAGAGGGCAGGTTTTGGCTACAAGCTAAGACATGGAAACTGTGAGGCGCATTTTCATTTTACACTGCCTCCGAACCCGGAGCTGACTGTACTCTTGATTTTTTAGCAAAAGTTAGGTCTAAGAACAGATTACAGATTATAAACATCTATAAACAACATGTCACGAGAGCGAGTTGCTTGGAGCGTGCGGGAGTTGTCGTTTGACAATCAATCCATCCTTCAAGCCGTCAATCAATCGATCTCGATCTCTCTCTCTCTCTCTCTCTCTCTCTCTCTCTCTCTCTCTCTCCCTCCCTCTCTCTCTCTTTCTCGCTGAAGTTTTGCAGGTGGGTCAAAAGGCGACCGCGGGCCTTAAAGTGGCATAAGAATCAACTAATCCGCAAACGACTAAACGAAAAAGTCCCAAGTACATTTGCCGATGAGCATGGAATTCCAGAACCACAACCCCAAATGGAGAAAACCTAAACCGATGAAGTTTCAGAATTGTTCAATCACATGCATCAGGTTCTCATGAATGATGAGTTCTTAGAAGATTTTCCTATGCTATGTGGTAAGCATAGGGTTAGGACAGTTTGTAACAGTCCGTACCCTTAAGTCTTTACAGAAGATCACTATGTTGTAAACGGGACCGAGGGCTGTCATGCCAACAATGTCAACTGAGACAGTCTGTGAATGTCGCAGACGGGTGGGGTGGGGGGGGGCAAGGCAAGGAGGGCGCGCGGGGCGAGGGCGTGGGGTTTTTCCAGAAAGCCCGAGACAAGGTTCAGGGACAAGGCCGAGGTCCTGTTGTCGTTATCTTTTCAAAGGTTAGCGGGTTAGGGTTGGATGCTGCTTTGTGCTATCGATGGGTTCCGTCCTCCTTCTAGTGGGTTCACATTCTGGTGAGTTGGTCTTAGGCGGGCGTGGAGGTGTGGCATGGTCAGTTCATGGAATTGGTATCCACTAACTCAGAAACCCTCCTTAAAATCTCTGTTTTGAAGCATGGTCTGGCCTCACTGTGCGAGGGAGTAAAGTGCCGGATCCCATTTTGACCGCCATTTTGAACTTTGAACCCCGAAGGCCTGCACCCAGGAAGTTCAGTCTTTGTATCCTCCGCGGATGACCACGAGTCCTCACCTCTCTCATCGCACCGTGCTTAGTGCACACGCAGGAGCACGAGTTGCTGGAACGTGCCGCTTCCCTCCGTCTTCCATTGAAAGTGAAGCTGCTACTTGGGCTCAAGATTGCCAGTTAAATGTCACTACCGTAAGCTCCTCTTCGCGGCTGATGGTCTTCAAGTGGTCAAGTCATGTTAATGGGACCGTCCGTGAAACCCCAGGCCTTGATTGGGATATTTGAGTCATTTGAATGTTGGTCCACGTGCTTGAGGCACGCAGACCCAGGCCTTGACGCCCAAAAAGGCTGTAGTGACTCTTTAGTGACTCTCGAGTTTTCTCGAGTGACTCTCCAGTGACTCTAGTGCCTCGAGTGACGCTAGTGACTCTAGTGTGGGCCCTGGCCCCGACCTTTCAGGGCATAACAAGGGCTGCTGCTGGCTTGTCAGGGCTTCTATCGTATCCTTTCGCCACGGAAGGTGTAATTTACTGCCAGCCCCCTTGTGTCCAATCTTGCTTCATCAGCCCGGTTCGGAATCTTGAATTCGAGGAAGGTTTTGGGGGACTTGGCAATCTGCACGATGCAGCTCGCTGCCCAGGCCAGACGGTTTGCCACAGACTGCCCTGGACCAGTCAATGCCATGTGCCTAGTGGCAGTTCAACGGCTTTCAGGATTCGTTTTTTGGCTGGCAGAGTAAGCAGCCTGTCAAGGCCAGCCAAGAAGAGACCAACTTTCTTTGCAGCGGTTGATGCCAACCTCCCTATCTTGGTCCAGGCGCTGCCCAGTATAGGTCCGACCGATTGATTTGGCGATTGGAGTCTGAGCTGGGACGGTGCCTGCGCCAGGCGAATACTGTGGATCCTTTGATGCCTCATGGAAGCACTTCGAGCGTTGCAATGAACTGTCCTTGCAGATGTGTGTGTTTGTGCACGCGCTCATGCACGTCCGAATGTGTGCATGCTGGCCTAGCTCGCGGGTGCAGGGTGCCACTGCGCATGTTCGCGTTGGCATTCGTTTTCGTTCTCCATCCTTATGCGACACGGGCGAGGGCTACCCACCAGTTTTGATGGAATCAAACCTTCACTTCGTGTGTGGACTTGTGCAGCCCAGGCCTCTGAAGAAGAACCTGACGGACTTTCTTTTGCAGCCCTGCTTCCTTGCATGAGTTTTGCTGGGGATGAAAAGAAAAGATAGAAAAGCCTCCAAGACATTTTGGAGCGGATGACTCTTCCATGCCGGCTCTACAGAGAGTGAACCCGGCTTCAGGATCGGCAGCAAGCCGTGCGCCCCTGGTTTCAACGTTTCCGGGCCATGTAGGACGACGCTTCAAGAGAAGGCTACTTTGTCCAACCATTGCCCTCCCCCAAAAGCTGAAGGCCTCCGTGTAGAGTGTAGCTTGTGTGATGGCCACAGCATCCACGATACCCGAAGCCGCCATCATCCTGTACCTGAAGTCACGGGCAAGTTTCTTTCATCGGAGAAGCCTTCAGCTGACAGGGGCTGCCGTGCGTGCTTGCAGGTAATAGCACTTTGACAGAATTTGTGTCGAATTTAACGTGTTGTGCTGTGCCCACACAGGATCCAGCAAGCCTTGCAGGGCAAGAAAGGTATATGGGGGAGGTTTTTCTTATGATTTTTGGGTGAGGGTATATGGGCTGTTAGATCATCTGTTTTGCGTCTTGCTTTGCATACGTATTGGGTGTGAATTCGGGGATGCCAGCAATATAAACGATGGGTAAGATCGACCATCATCAGCATTTCTTGCGACTTGTGGGTCTTGGATGGTGCAGCTTTTGCGAGCAAATCCGCTTTGACAGACACTCTCGAGCAAAAGTCAGTCAACTTGTCTGTGGCGCTCGCATCCTTTAGCGCCGGCGTGGAGGACATTCCACTCACTTTCGAGTGTTGTTGTGATTGACCTTGCATTTGTTGAATGCTGCTGAGGGTGCTGATGCGCGGCTCGCGGAAGTGTTGTCATCGCTGTCCTGTTCAGCAGCTTCGACAGAGGCGGTTCTGAACAAAAACATGTCTATTTCGAGAAAGTGGATGGAGAATGTGAGTGGGGCCGAGCACCATAAAACACAGACACCGCAAGCGAAATCCTGCTGAAAGTGCTGGCCCCGCCGTCATCTGCAAGATTACTATTTGACTTGGTGCATTGGGATGTGCTAGGCCTAGAGAGTGCACGAAAGACTCTCAGCCTGCCTGGGTGAAATGTGGTGAGTCGAGCCATCACTCGTGACTTCAAAGTTCTGGCATGCTGGAGGCAGTGCGTTATGCAACCGCCAAGGTTGGAGTGTCGTTCCTTAGTGCTGGTGCTCGAGCGTTCGTCCGTGTTCTGAAGTACCAATGGTGCGCACACAGCAGAATCAGTAGAAGGTTCAGGTTAAGATAGAACGCCTCGGGAGTTCTGAGCAGTTTAAGTTCCTGGTAAGCTCTGAGCTTCACCTGGACTCTTTTAATCCTCCTGCCGGCAAGCGAGATCTAGCAACACATCTGATTTGATAGCAGGTGGCCATAAAGTAAATATAGTAATACAATACTTGATCCAGAAGAGATAGTAGATCCAGACGACATCAGATGTCGGCCCCAATCCCTTTTTGGACAAACCGCTCATGTACAGCTGAAATCAGTTGAATGCTGGCGACAGGGTCCGGCCATGACATGCTTGCGGTTTGAGTGTAGCTTGAGCTTGATCCTTCTACTGGTGTCCGGTTTCGGGTTTTGAGAAAGGTTCCTGACACCGCAGCACTATTGAAATCTGACAATACAAGTCCTGGTTGGATGCTCAAAGCGCGACGATGCTGCATGGCACCCAGATGCGAGCAGCGCTGGTGTTCATAGAGCAAGTGCCAGCGCAGTTCTCCACCGCATGCCACGCGAGGTGCATGCTACAGTGATCTTCTCCCTCACAAACCCGTGTAGCAAGTAGGATTTGTGGCGATAGCTTTCTGTATCGTCTGCTACACCTCAGGGCCTCAGGGCACTTGTGAATGATAGTTAGGTCAATTTGCTTCCTCAGCGCGAGAGAAGCGACCAACTCCAAGCACCAGAAGCCGAAGAAAGCAGATAACTCCGGACACTTCTGTTGCAGATGGCGTTTTGGAGGTTCTTGCTTTTGCTTATTTTTCGAAGGTGCTTGGCTGTGCTTTCAATCTGCGAGACAAGTTTGAGGGAGCATGGAAGAAGCAAAAGACTCAGCTTCAACGGAATATGTTTGGAAAGCAAGTTCTGTGGCCCTAAGACTGATCAAAGGTAGAGTCGGGGGCATGGGTAGTGGAGTTTTTGAAGGCTTGGTTCAACTGATGTTGTGACCTAGCCTGGATTCCTCCTGCACTTTACTCTGTTCAGACCTGTGGCTTCCGGCCAAGGCTGCTTCATAGCCAGGCATCAGGTCCAGCAGGGAGCATGTTGCTTCGCAAAGTTAGCTACGCGGCAAAAAATGCATACAAGCATTGCTGCCACGACAATGCCCAGAGGATGAGACAGCATTGCCAAACTGTCAGAGCTAAGCGCCAGACAAAGAGAGAAAAAGCGTCTTTCATGCACAGCATCACGCACTCCCAAGTAGCTTCGGATTCCAAGTGCAGGCGCTTTTGTACATGCAAGTCTCGAATTCCCCACAGCTTAGTCTGATTGCCGAGCTTACTTGGCGAGGTTTCGCGTAGCCACTTGGCGAGTGGCCGCCCTGCTGAGGTTCCAGCGTTTCGCTACAGGTGACAATGTGCTTTGATTTGATGGGGCATCACACTAGCCATCCTTACTGCCGCTGTAACATGAAAGTGCACGAGTAGCCCAGAATTGGGGGGGAGAGACTTGAAAGCAGCCCTGGTTGAGTGCGGCAGGCTTTGAAAGAGGCTCATGCAGCAGCCTCTGCTTTCAAGGACGCTGCTGTTGCTTTGCCTCTCTTTGTCTCGTTTTCCTCCAGCATGTTTTTGAGTTCCAGTAGACATCCCGTCCGCTACCTCACGAAGCTCTCGTGTAGAAACCACAAGTGTTTTCTGCAGAGCATGCCGCCACGCTCGACACATACAAGGCTTATACTTCTACTGACTTGTCGTTGCATGCATGTTCCACATGTTACAATAGGAGCTGGGTGATGTGCCTGAAGCTTACAAAGTTACCAGACATTGAGCAGCGTGACACGTCCGGCGTGCAATGCAATCGAAACGCGTGGCTCAGGCCGGGTCAGGCTACCGCTAGCAGCATTGCCGTCAGGGGCCAAGTTGCAGAAAACTTGTCTTGTCGGGCCAGAGCTGAAAGTGTTGGAAAGTGTTGCGAGCTTGAGCAGTAGCAACAAGACCAGGTTTAAAGTGTTCGACTGGCTACTCTGGCCGTGGGTTTGAGCAGGGTCCCTTGTGCCTTGAAGACTGCTCGTGCGATTTGCTGCGTCTCAATTGTGCAGCGTGGTCGTTGCTCAAAGACCTTGTTCGCAGCCACTCCGTCGGGTGTTTTGTGAGGATCATCTAGAATCCAAATCTGTGGCAAGTGCGGGACCCGTGTAATTAAACCACCGCAAACCTTACCCCGACGGATGAAGCTTGGTGGCAAGTTAAAGGGCGACGCTGTGCAGCCCCGGGAAACGAAGGTTTGGGGAGACAGTTCGTTCGTTCTACCTCAACAAACCAGCTTGCAAAGGCGCTGGCTCACCTTGCGCTTGGCCAGAGCCCGGAGGCTGCACGTGTAACTTGACATGGGGCTGTAGATGTGGGGGGGCTTGTTCTGAGTTTGGCTCGAAGGGGAGTCGTGGACCAATTTCTCCGCGGTGTAGTGCATTTTTGGAGCTGATCCCGGCGGACTCGGTGGGCATGGCCACGTCATGCACAGCCCTTCAGGGGCAAATCTTAGTCGAATGGCAGTTCTTTGCCTCATCCACGCTGTAGAACCCCGCGCCAACTCATGCCGATCAACATTCGGGAACCGCGACCTGCGGTCACAGAGTCCTGCTTCTGACAAGCAGCATATTCGTCTGCACCGACACCCTGTTCATGACTCCGTGGTTCCTTGCGATGCAGGCCGTTGCTTTGGCATCGAAAGCTCCCCAAGACCTTGCTGAACGAGGTGCACACCAGTGCACCCAGTCTGCCATGTTGGGTTTTTTTGGTGGCGGTTCAGCGTGCTGATGTGCAGCTGAAGGACTTCGACGGGCCTGTGCAAACGCACTGCTTGTTGCCATGGCCTCAGGTGAAAGCCCCTGCACCCAGATTGCTTCGTTTCGTTGCCGGTGATGCCGGTGATTGCTGTCATCGTGTTATGCGCCCAGGCCAGCCGCGTTTACTTGAAGCTGGGAGAGCGCGATCGTGCCATGCAGGTAGCCTTAGAGGCTGGCGTCGGCCTAGATTTGACCTCACCGTTTCTGTTGCCTTGCCTGCTCTTGACCCTAGCCCTATCTAGGCCAGTAGCTCGTGCCGCAGCCAAGCGTGTTTGTGAGATAGCTGAGGGTATTCGAGTCGGTGTTGGTCACAAATTCGACATATAGGTAGAATAGGTCGTGCAGATGACTACATGCCATGGCAACATGGCTGCTGTGGGCTCTTGCTCTGCTGGCAAGCGCTGCGGGCCAAGAAACGTGTCGACAGGCCTACGCCAATTTCAGGCGGTGGCACAAGCAAACACGATTGCCCAAAACATTCTCCAGAACAAAGCTGCAACAACAAGTTCAGCCGTTTTGGGGAGGGGGCTTGTTCCCTTGCAGGCCGCCATGCAGGGACGGGATGCCGGCAACGTTTCGACTGGGCATGCACTACGAGGACCGCAATACCCTGCTTGGCTTCATGGTGGAGGCCACGAAAGATGTCGAATCTGGGACCCAAAAGACTTAGAGTCTCCTTTACTTGTTATGACCTGGAAAGTGAAGGTCCATTGAAGGCCTCGCCCTACAGCACATGCCCTGGGCAAATCTGGGCAATTAAGGAGTGCTGCCAGATGGTCGGCGGGCGGTCGTGGGAAGTCGGCTTCCACCTCATGTCTTATCTAGCAACGCTCGGGAAGAGAAATGCCTCTCTTGCTCGCGAAGTGTCCACCTGCCTCGGCGAGCCCGGTGACGCTTTGGGGCAGATCCTCTACGGGATCTTCTGTGCCCCTTCAGTCTGCGAGGGTGACGTCGGCCCACTTGCCATGCAGAGGCTCATTTACAACGTTTGTCGGTTGCACGTCCGCCCTCCACCTTTCGAGGATGTGGCGGCCGACGAGCTCACAAACTGGCGGAGCATTTCAATGGACTTCGCGGTTGCCGGCGTCGGTCGTTGTGGCACTCAGTCAGTTCTCAATAACCTGTATCAGCATCCTGAGATCGACTTTACTCTGGGAAAGTCAGAGGAAGACTATACTTTGTTTGGCCAGGGGCAGTTGTCCAAGTTTGTACCCACCAAGCAGCAGGTTGCAAAGCATCGTGCCAGCTACGCAGGCAAAGGAGATGCCAATGATGCTACCAAGCTGCTGGGTCTCAACAACCCAGTCATTGTCACTTACCCTTTGTCCTACTACGCCCTTTACCTGATGAAGACGGTGAAGGTGGTCCTTGTGGTCTGTGATCCGCTCCGACGGTTGGAGAAGCTCTTCCTGTACCATCACTACTGCCATGAGGATTTCGATGCCGCGGTCCGGCGCTTCGATGCCATCCCCCGGCACTTGAACACCCGGAAGGATTGCGACCGGAGTGCACGGGCGCTCATCGGGAATCAGCGAAAGTGGGCCAAGAACCAGGCCTTTGGATCCCACGTTGAAGAACTCATCAAGCTTTTCGGACACCGAAGGCTCTTTATCGTCCACCAGGCATCTCTCCGGGAGTTTCCACGGCAGACTTACGGGAAGCTGGCCGCCTGGCTCGGTGCGACACAGCCGTTCGCAGCAGAAACGATCTTCAAGCGCTACAACTTTCGACTGGGATACCGAACGGACTTGTGCCAGAATTCCAGCCTCCAAAACGTTCTGCGGCTTGCCAGCATGGTGTGCAGGCTGGACTGTCCAATATGCAACGCAGCAGTGGCAGAGGAGAGGCTTCAAGGAAGCAACCAGCCTTCGTAACCTCTAGCCGTTTTAGGGTTTGATGGTTTAGCTTGCGCTAAGGAAATCCATGCTTGCCTCAGAGTATGCTGCGCTTCAGCTTGCCACGAGCTTATGGGAGACCCGTGAGTCTGGTTTCCAATCTGCATGGCCAGAGTCTGACATACCCAGCCCTGCATTTAAGTTTGAAATTGCATGCTGGGAGTTGGTTCTCTTTGCTGCTCTCTTACACAGAAGAAGATGCAAGATTGACGTGTATTTTCCCGAGGCCATACAGTGGCAAGAGCGGAGGTTTCCTCAGCCGCTGGCCACGCAAGAGCTGCGCGGCAAGCGGTCGCGCTGTGACATGGCCGAGGCCGGGACTCTGCTCCCCGCACGCTGCAATGGAAGAATTCTGGCTTCCTCAAGTTTTTTGGAGAGCCTTTCTGTGATGTGCTGCGATGTGCTGTTGCTGTGATGTGCTGTGATGTGCTGTTGATGTGCTGCGTGCCCTCTCCCAGAGGAGCTCGTGGAGGGGCCTTGTGGCCTGTCCGACGATGACCAGTCCGGCTGCCCTCAGCTCGGTAGGGAGGCTGCCGGCAGATGAGGACGATTCGTCCTTCGGTCCCGCGGAGAACTCTGCCAACAGCATCATGTTCCATGATTCGCCAAGAGAGAGACTTGCTGCGCTGAAGAGTCCAACCTGTGCTCGTGAGGAAAGCCATGGAAAGCCCAACTTGTAGTGGCAAGAATGACAATGCACTGACAAACATCGGAGAAGCAGTTCTAGCGCAGCAGCTTACAATAGCAGCAGCAACGGGAAGAGCAGAAGTAGTAGGACGGTAGCAAGGCCGCTACATGACGAAATGTGCTTGCAAGGCACGCAGGCAGACATGTGCGGAGTGCCGATGCGTGAAGATGTCACCTCTGCAGGCGGCTCAAACAGGCCGACTTTATATGCATGAGATGCGTCACCGAGATGCTTGATCAGAACAATCTGCAAGTACGCTATCGATTCAATTCTTAACCACCCTACAAAGCACGTCCGTCATCGTTATATATCAGCTGCATATTTGTCTTTTTATGTTTCTGGACTCCCACTCTTGCTCATGCCATACCTCAGCAATGGCACCGTTGCTGACAGGCGCGGGTAGTCATGTCCATGTCCTGCTACTGGAGACGCCTGAGCAAGCACATGTGTAGCAATGGGAGCATTGAGCGAACCATAGCGAACCCAAACAGCAACAAGCAAGGTAGATTTGCATGAAACTTGCACTTTTGGATTCGAACGTGAAAGTTAGCACCGCTTTCTTCGAAGTGCAGCATGTAGCAGAACCGTTTCTCAGAGTCGCACTTCTCAAGCAGCTCTTTCTCGAGGCCTGCTGCAATCCTGCAGACTGCTGTTGCCGAGGTGCCTCCGCACCCCCACGCACAGAAACCTAATCCAGAAGTGTTGGTTTGTGAATCTGACACATCCTGCTTCTTTGGAAGCTGTGAGTGAGAGCACGTGATGTATTCAGTGAAGTGGGACTTGCGCATGTCAGGCCATCCTAGGCTAGAATTTGTATTTCGCCCTCCCTCTGCATGCAGACTTGGCGAATGGGCTCAGGCTAGTAAGGCATAACTAGTATAAAGTATCAAATATATTAAAGTATCAGAAAGCATGCTAACGTACCCCCCTCAATCTCCTCCCAGTCTTTGCATGGAGGCCGACATGACCGACATGGAGCCGCATCAGCCGTTTAGGCCTCGTGCCTTGGCCCATCAAGTGACCCATTCCTTCACGACCTGCATGGTGCCCAGGCCTTCATGGGTCCATCTAACCTCCAACTCTCCTTGGACGAAGCCGCAGAGACGAAACCCCCCCCCCCTCCCTGAGGCTGGCCTCGCTGGAAGAGCGGAGATCTGCGGCCGGTGGATCGCGCGATCGTGGAAGTTCCCGTGGCGGAGGAGCTTGTGAAAACCAAGCGCGGCCTCTTCCGTCCGGAGAGCGGCGTCGTGAGGTGCTCTCTGGATCCCAGAGTTGTGAGTAAACGCCTCTAAGACTGTCGCCAAGCGAACCTGGGGACCTTCTCATATGGAGAAGGGGATGTTTTTTTCATACGGTGGTGTGCAGTGGCGAGATCAAAGCCTTAGATGCTGCAAATACATGTACGGTTATGCCTCAAGATCTCGGGACCTGTGCAATCCAATGTTTAGTGTTCCCCAACGCCTTTACCCCCCTTGAGTCAGACCGCAGGTACAGCGCGCAGGATTGGGTGAAACTCCGAGCAGATGCGGAGGAACTTCTCTACATTATGAGAAACCAGGTGCCAGCCAATTGCAGAGCCGAGGGCTCAGTGAATGGCAAAGCTAGGAGAATCGTTGAGTTTCATACGTAGCACAGAGGAGCTTGACATTGGTAAGTGTGCCTACAGGTAGACCTGATGCCAGAGCAGGCGCCTATATAGGGCGAAAAGAGAACAGCCGGCCGTGTGAGGATTGGTCCCTGGCCATCCTACAGAAGGCGTACCGCTCATCGTGTCGGCGACATGGCTCCTGGGATCGTATGAATTTGTGTCTGCATCTCTGCGGCACTGGCAAGCGGCATTTCTTTTTTTTCGGTTTGGGGGGTGGAGGGGGGGGGGCGTTTATTTGTTTTCGATCTTTTCATTCTTTCCGTGTGTTGCTCTTGAAGCCTTTTTCAATCCAAGGCACGACTTTGTGTCCCTGTTCCCAAGAACCTTCGAGCTTTTCGGGCCTCACGAGCAGCTCGTTCGCCCATTTCGGAGCTCGGTCTCCAGTGTGGCCGATGGCGAGGAGGAAGTCATGAAGCGCCTGGCAATGGCGGCTCGGACCCATTAGTGGGGTAACGTGCTTCTTGCCCTCCTTCCCCATTCCCGCAGATGGCATCAATTCACCGGTCCGCGCTTCGTTTCGGCCCGTTGCATCGCGCGAGGCAAAGCAGCTGGGTGTCATTCAGGTTCACACCCCCGTCGGTGGAGGTACCGAGAGGCCACTTTGTGCATGCGAGACTTCACACGGAGTCTTCACAGTATCCTCTGTTCACAGCTAATCGCCTCACCTTCGGGCGCAAGCATGAGAAGGTTAGCGCCTGTGCTAAACTACCGGGAGTTAATGTCAAGTTGAGTGACCAAAGATGTTCCTAAGTGCTGGTCTTGCCAAAGCCCAGACATGCCAGACATCCAACGCCTGAGCTACATGTTCCGTAGGATTTCAGCGCCTACACCTGCAACTTTGCTGAAGAAGACGCTGTGGGGCTCGGGCTTGCATCTCTCTTGCTTCATGCTCATCTTCCCTGAAGAACCTAACACCTCAGCTGCCAAGAAGGGAGGTGAAGCTGCCAAGGATATTCTGTACACCTCGGCCAAAGCATGGTACATCCCAAGCCGTTCTACGTCGTGCACTCAGTGTGCTTTCTGCAGCCTTCAATGTCTCTCGCGTGCACGTAGAAGACAGCACCAGACAGGTCACGGAGGTCCAGCGCACGGACCTCCTATGCCTCGCGACCAACATCCGCGACGTCATCATATCCAAGCCGTCCAGCGAGTCGACCGCTGTCTGCCTTGACTCCCATTTGACAGCCAAAACAATGGAGATGTGTGTGCAGCAGCAGCATGATTCCAACACAGGGTCTGCAGTGCTTTCGCTTGGTAATTGTACGCTCGCCTCGGACCCGGCCTGAGGTGGGTTTTCAAGGGGGGATCCTGGGTGCCGAAGGAACGCCCCACTTTGGACTTGATGGGAAGCTCTGACGCCTACAGCAGCCAAGAGGAGTGGCAAGTGGCAAGGCCATGCAAGGCCTAGTAGTTGTTAAAGAAGTCTTCAACCCAGCATCTCTAAACCTTCGATGATGATGCCTAAACCGAAAGCCATAAACTGTGGCTCCAAAGCTCTACGTCCAAACTCTGACCAGGAGGAACACCAAGCCCTGAAACGGGTTCGGGTTCGGGTTCTGCATGGGAATGCTGAAAATGAGAAGGTGAGCCACAATGCAAAGAACGAAGGGATTCTGAAGGGGAGTGTTGTTAAGAAATTAGCCTCTGACCAGGTTTGGTAAATGAGAGGAGAATGTAGAAGGCGAGTCACCATGACAAACGATTTGTGGGGCATCTGCCTCTGAGTTTGTCAGGTTTGTTGAACGCCGACAGAGCTAGGAGATGCCAAGCCACTCCAAGTCTCAGGCGCAAACGCGTGGCTCGCCGGCCCGTTGGATGGCTCAAGAAGGAGAGTCATTATTTCCGATGGTTGGTTGTATTCTTTGGCATTGCGATTGTAAGTAAGGGCTCAAGGTTCGGAATGTTTGTTTTGGGAGCTTGCGGGCATATAGTGCAGCTGTGCCGATCACTCCTCCCGCCCTTGTGTGGCATGCTCGGGAGTTGACAGTTCCGAGCTAGCTACCATGTCCTGCTCAAAGTGCTAGCAGACCACAGCTCAAGAATGACAGTATCCATTAGGAGCATTCCCATTCCTTGGATGGGATATCCTGCGTCGCATGGAAGTGTGGGTCGGGATATGTCGTTTACAGATTGAGATATGCCAGATGATGCCACGCAACCGCTTGTGACACACAACCAGACGCGTCTCCAGGACATGCTTTCAAACTTCACGAAAGACATGCTGCTTCAGGCCGTGCGACGGGACACCTTCCCCTCAAGGAAAGTCGCATCCCTCTTCCCATGATTTTGATTAGTATCATACCGACTGTGATTATGCGGGCGAGCCCGGTCCTTGGCCTTCATGCGAAGTAGGGGGAGGAGGAGAAGGAGGAGAGGGGAGAGCGAGAAGAGGGAGAGAGGGAGAGAGGGAGAGAGACCCCAAACAGGGGACCATGAGGTCGCTCGTGCTGCCCGCACTGGATCCACATGTTGTGCAACACCTTGCAGTCTGGTAGGTCTTGGAGCAGATGTGCCTTGAGCTGATGAGGTTTGCGTTGAATTCATGCGATTATTCTCACAGCCTTTGTTTGCCGAAACGTTCAGGAGCGCCTGTTCAATGGACGGTGCAATTTACGTGATGCACGTGCTAATGGCATGTGCTGGAAGCATAGATTTCCTGTTCGGCCTAATTATAGGTTGGGAAGTTTTCTGAAGAACTGTTGCCAGTCGTCGTTCTTGTACAGACAGAGCCGGCTGGCTTCGATCCTCAGCCCCACCTGCTCGACCCTGAATCTCAACACGCGCGGTATTCAGCAGGTCATTTTGTTTTTGTGCTGCTCTTGTGAGTTGACGGGGCTTCATTGAATCGACAGCTGTCGATACCGCTGGGCATTGACATGCTCCTCGCTACTCTTGAACCCAGAACACTGGTTGATGTGGAGAAAAAAAAGTCTTCAGAAAGCACAGTCAGCTTCGCACAGGTGCTGTGCGAAATGCCATGCCGGCTCTGGGTCAAGTTGGCCTTCCCCCCCTGCCCCCCCTTCTGTCGCCGAAGGCAGCTGCCGCCCTACGTGATGTCGGTGATACCAGGGGGGAGGTCCAGTTGACAATTCTTCGTGCTTCCCATGTCGGCACTCTTTGCTCTGGCAGGCCTTTGCTCTTCTGCAAGAAGTCGGCTCTGCTTACCTTGACAAGAATGAGGCTTGCAGTGGCAAGGGCGTGTGCGAACATGATCAGCAGCGTAGCCTTTCAGCGGTCCGAAGAGGTAGCAGGATGCAGTCCGCTCCAGCTAAAGTCGTGGCAAGTGCTTTGCCGCTGCAACAGCTTGCTCATAGAGCCCGTGTAAGTCTGTGTCAGTGCCACTTTTGGAGGTGGACTCAGCGCTGAGAGTTGCTTCTGCTGCTCTGCGACAGCTGCGAACCTCCGAAGACTTGTCCGGCGAGGTAAAGGCACTGAAGGCGCTCCAAGTTGCAAACGTTGCCGGCGAGAGCCTGGCATCATGTTGTCCGCACACCGAAGGTTCTGTGACTGTTCCATACAGGCCACCGCTGATATCCATCTATTCCGAGGAGACACGGAACCGGCGCTGCGTCTGCTACAGGAGGCCCTGAGCCTTACTTTGCTATGGCAGCCTTGGCAGTGTCACGACATGGCTCAATGCAGCGTGGAGTGCGGGGGTAATTGGGCAATTGAAGTTATGGAGGTGGTCAGCTTGTGCCGGGACTCCGGGGACATCGAGGACTCAAGTGGATGTCGCCTCTTGATGTCGGATACGTAGGAACCTTGAACCAACATAGCATACACAGCTACTCATGCAGAAGCTCATGCAAACCAAATCAGTCAGTCATCGAGGACCAGGTCGATGCGCAGATCCGCATCGCGCGGCTTTGGGTGCTACGCAGTGAGGCAGATGAGGCAGAGACATCCGCCAAGGCCGCGCTGCAGGCAGCCAAGGGCAATGACTTGGCGGAAGCACAGGCCTCTCTGGGCATGGCCAGAGTTCTCATGGCCAAGAAGGACCTACCTGGTGCCAAGGCGCAAGCTGCAAATGCGGAGAAGCTCTTCAAGACATGTGGCCATCGATCGGGGGAGCTGACCGCCCTGTCACTGACCTGGTCTGCCATGCTGGAAGAGGGCGGTGCGGCTCAGATGGTGCAGGCAGCCAAGAAAGCTGCAGAGGCCTTCAAGGCAGCAGGGGACCAGCAGTGCGCCGCGGAGGCTTACCTGGAAGCCAGCGCTGCCAGCAAAAAACACGGCCAACCGGAGTCTGCAGACACTGCCACCGCGGCCCTGCAGCTTTTCCGCCAGCTCCAAACTCAGCTTCGGGCTGACAAATGTCATCGTCTTCCCTTTCTCGTCTGCTCTTGTCTTCTCTTGTCCTCTCCTCTAGTGGCCCATAGCGGCCCCAAGCAGCAGGCAGCTTTGTGCAATCGCGTGCTTCGCTTCTCCGAGGCTTGGCCACACAAGCGGCGAGGTCAAGGCACGGTCATGGTCTGTTTTGGCTGCATACGGCTGTTACTCCTGCTGAGCCCCTTTTTGCCACGGCTAAGTATTCTAATTGACAGTACTGGCGGCAGAGGCCCTGCACGCTTTGTCCGCAGCCGAGAGGGCCAGGCACACGGTGTCTTGCGGGTGTCTTGCAGGGAAGTCAGTTCCAGCTCATCCCTTTATGAACGCAAGGGAACTGAGTTCTGGTAGTTAGAGCTGCGCATAATCGGCATTGCTGGATGCCTGACATGTTGCCAGGGGCCAAGTGGCCGAGAGCGTCAAAGCGGCAGTTGATGTGGTCTCACTCTATCAGCGGAGGGGCGACACCTGCGGCCAGGCCCCTCATGCACACATAACTATGAACTGCAAATCAAGAAGTCAATCGTTTTTTCTAGGACCTGACGCCGAGGGCTTGCTGTAGCCCATCGTGGATGCCTCATGATGCCTCCATTCCCAGTGGCGCGCCAGGCAGAAGCCACTTGCGAGCTCGCCAAGGTGAGGGTTTGGAATATTGGGAGAGCTGACTGCTGAACTCTGTTGAACTCTGCTGAACTCTGTTGAACTCTTTGGGTGCTTGAGGTGCACTTGGGCTTGGGCTTGCTGAAGGATGCCCTGTCAGAGGCGCCTCATCCTACCATCTGCCATGGCAAAGAAGGTGTCCCTGCCCGAGGTTGGCGAGGCACGGCTGCTCTTCCAGAAGGTGGGCCAGCCGCAGAACGGGCCTTGGAAGCTCTTGGAAGCTTGAGAGGAACGTGGGGGAAACTGGCCTTCGCCCTTTTTCAACCGAGGATCCAAGAAGCAGCCGTTCTGGTTGAAGTCGGTGTGCCGACCCTCATGGCCATGGACGATCCTCCCAAGGCTTGGATCAGTGTGAGAGTTGTGAGTCGATTGAAACAGCGTCAGCCCTTGAGTCCTCAGCTGTGCAGGCCGTGGCCATGGCGGAGGACGCTGCGAAGCTTTATCGCGCCCTCGGTGACAGGACTCGCGTGGTGTTGCTTCTCTCATCCTGACACGTGTGGCACGTCGCGTGGCACGGCTCGATGCCAGGAAGGGTGAGGCTGCGGCACTGAGCGCTTGTGCCAAGGAAGGACGCCTTGTCACTGTGTCGCCATCAACAGAGACAACTCAAACCCTAAGCCCTCCTCAATCGTGGGCAGGTCTGCGTGCAACAAGGTGACAATGCAGCAGCCTTGCAGGCAATTCTTGTTTGTGTTCAAGGCTTTATGCATGGTGTCTAGAGTTTCCGAGGAATTCAGATGCCACCCCAACATCTTGAAGTCCTTCCTGCGCAGGCAGCTCGCCAAGCTGTGGCCGTGCTCTCCAGGGCCCGCCTGGCGCGCGAGGAAGCCGAGGCCCGACCACGGGATGTGGGGGGTGGCCATTGTGACCTTGTGGTCGTTGTAATTTCTGTAGTGAGCCAGCCAAGAGTCTGCGAAACAGGCGATTCACCTTATTGCCCGTGTGTACGCGATCCGTCGAGAACCTCGCGAGGCACATCGGTCTTCCAGTATCCAGGGGCAGTTGGATTGTTGGCTTGTGTTCCTGCGCGCTTCAACAGGTTCCAGCAGCAAAATGGAAAGGAAGCCTTGTTGACAAATTGCTACACAGCCCTTGTTGTCACTTATGGGTGTGCCTGCACAGGGCGAAACGCCTAAGTATAGCCGATACACTTGCGCAGGTGATACTGAAAGGTACTAGTAACATTCATGCGCTTCCAGCACGTGTGCGATGTACCAGTCACCTCCGTTACAAAGCACTGTACATCCCGACGTGTTCGTGGATACTTCGGTGTGCTACTAGTGAGGTTTCGATTTATTGTGAATGCTGCAGAGCCCAGCAGGGGCAGCAGTCAGCGCGCATCACTTCTTTGCTGACGAAGCTGTCGCTCCTGCAAGCCAAAAACCTTATACTTTAGCCTGTAAGCTCAAAAGCAAGCCCCCAGCAGCCCAGAAGTCCTAAATCGGAACGCTCAAGGCAGTTTCATCAGCGGCCCAAGCTCTCAGCCTGCTGCGCAGGCAAGTCCTTGGGTACATGGCAGCTTGCTTTTGCGTGTTTGGTGAGGCCTGCCGTAAGCCAGGCCCGGCGATGAGGCTGACCGCTCGGACGTGCTGATGACAGCCTCGTACGCGCACAGCATGGCCGGGCACCATGCGTGAAGGATTTAGAAAAATCGGGTTTCGGAGATTTGCAGATTTAAGTTGCCATCTGTCAAGGAGCTGTCCTGCTCTGCCTGTAGTAGGACTTTGGCCCTGGTACCTGTAGAATCAGTCCGGGAGGCAGAAGATGGAGCGACGCCAAGTATCCTTCGGCATCCCAAACCATCCCTCCTGTGTCCCCTCATAGGCCCCTCAACAACATCAAGCGCTATCTCTCGAGCCCGACCTGTCAGTCTTGGAAGTTGCAGGGCCTGGAGTCCGAGGGGGCCGTCGGGGCGGCTGAGGAGGCAGTAGCACTTTGCCGGCGGATTGGCGACAAGACGAGGCCGCCGGAACTGCAACCTGCGTGCTTGTATGTGCTTGTTTTCTTTTGCAGGTTTAGGGATGTTGAGGGTGTATGTTTCGCGACGAAGAGAGCCTCTTTATGCTATGCTTTGCATGATAGCCCCCAGCGTGATGCGAACAAAGAGGACAGTGTCAGGTGGTGATCGTCTGTGGGTTTAACGACCATGCGCGGCGTTGAGGCTTTGGTAGGATGGTTGAAGGACAAGCGTGGGCTGGAACACCTTGTGCTCAAAGCCCTCGAGGGCTTCGAAGGCAAAAACTCCCAAGCTCGCACACCCAAGGCGAACCACATTACAATCCTAAGCCCATTAAGCCCTAAGTTCCCGAGGCCCACCTGATGAACTCGAACTGTCGACGCCAGGCTGGCATCCGCACTCCACGCGCTAGCCGAGGCTTTGCTCCTGAAGCGTGACTTCGGCCAGGCTTGGAGTGACTGAGTCAGATGAAGAGATCAGGATGCTTATTTTTTTGGACAAAGAGTCGTTTCGATGATTTAGTGTGTGTCGGTTGATATTTGGCCCGAACTGCGGAGGCGGTCGACACTGCGGAGGAGGCTTTGCAGCTTCCCGGGCTGGATCCAATGCTCCAGGTGGGGAGCTTTGAGAGCATCAACCTGCCTCCAAGATGCTCCAAACCCCGAACGAGCGAAGATCTCAGCCCCCAAAGCATGCCGTCTTCCTCTTTTTCTGAGGCTCACCTGTCGTCCGTGTCGGCCTACGGCAGGCTCGGTTTGACTCTCGGACCCTGAGAGCCTGGTGTTTCTGGGTTGGGCCCACGCTGCGCCGCTTAAAGCGGTGAGTCCGCACCTTGTTCTTTGCAGCGAAGCACCGATTCTATGCGTGTGCTGGGAAGAATGCCGTATATGCCGCCATAAAGCCACGTGCTCTCTAAAGCCAGCTCTACTCACCAAGTTTGCTTGAGCCATGCTGAAAGACACTGGGCCAGGCTGGCCTGGTCGCAGGCGAAGAAGAAGGGGCTGAGGGCCAACCCCAAGCAGCTGCTACAGAAAGCCAAGGTGTGCCCACCCACGAAAGATGTTAGCGGAGATATTCTTGGTGTCGCCGGCTTTTAGGCAGCAAGCGACATCCTCCTCGCTTCGGGGGACAGGCGCCGATGTAACTATGTTCAACTGCTGGTACTGGTGTTTCATGGCAGTCGGACAGGCGGTTCGAAGCAGAAGCAAAGTTCTTGATGGCCAAAGCCCAGCTCAAGGCGGGTGCTTTCTGAAGAGCCCCTTCGCATGCGATGCGCGGGCTGTTACCCGCAGAGGCGGACAATGTGGAAGCTGCAAACAAGGAGGCCCTACGACTCCGCGCAGTTCCTTCCACAACAGAGAAGAATCAAACATGCCCAGACGTGAGAACCTATGAGGCCATGGCGGCCTATGACTTCTACGCCACCTTGCGAGACGGGTGAGGACCCCAGCTGTGTGGGCATCAAGGGCATCATGGGCATCATGGGCATCATGGGCATCATGGGACTGGCTTGCACTCTTTTTTGGGGGTCTTTTTTGGTCGCAGCTTTGCTTTGAATGTATTGCCATGCTCAGGCAAGGTCTGGGCTGGACCGGGCTCCTCTACTCATCTTGCCTCTTGAGGCCAGCAAAGTACCTTCGACTGACAATTGCAAACACGCACACACATATAGACACACTTGCACACACTTCCGTAGTGGTGCAATGAGTGATACCGATCTTGCAAATGCTCGCTCAGGCCATAAAGAGCAGAGGTTATGGGAGGGGAGGAGAAAGTGGGTAGAAGATGGATTACTGGTGTTTCGCATGAACATACTGGTGTGCTGACGAGGGTGTTGTTGAGAAGTTGACGGTGCTTTAGGTGTGATGTATGCTGAGCTACAAAGTATGCTCATCATTCTGTAGCTGCTCTCTGCAACGCTCTTGATTAAATGCTGCATGCTGCATCACATAAGGACATCTGCATGTGTTCCAGTGCTCCATATGCTGCGTGCTCTGATTGGTGTACTTTCATCAACATCTTGTTGAACGCCACAAATTTTGAGCCCACAGCGATGGTGCACCAGTGCCACGGACTCGGTCCTGGTTCGCACCGCATGTGGGATGTGAGGTCTACATCATGCACGCACACAGAAATTGCGCAGCACGTGCTCACGCCGGTGCCATTGGTGGCCGGAGCACAAAAAGCCGCGACCCGCGCATTTTTGCCCTGGCAGGTCGCCGGCCAAGATGATGACCAGTGGCATCACCAGCATCACTTCCAAGGCGCACTGATTTTTGAGGTTTCAGCAGTGGGTTTCATTAGCCTTAGTGGGTACTCTTGAAACATATGCAGCGATTTGCATTCCTCCTTTCGACAGGAGGTGGAGATGCCCCAGTACGACGGCGCATTGCAGGCCAGACCCGTGACACGGAGTGCAGTGTTGTTTCGCCATATGGTTTGGAATCCAGTAAAACCCAGGCAGCGCTGGTGGCGCACAGCACATTCAGAAGATGTGGTGATGAGGACATGTGCCGGATGAGAGCTGCGGGATTGTGTGGATAGTTCTTGCTGCCGTATTGGCCTAGTGAATCGCTTCACCTTTCAAGGGAAGGGGGCATTCATGAGGCAGGCGGCGGTTGATATCCATGTGAAGAAGTTACAAAGAGGCCATCGGTGCATCCGAGTGAGTGCGCTACCAAGCACTTCACCAGGAAGGTGTGGAAGCAGCGCTCACGGCGATCCACGAGATCCGCTCTTCGATGGGAGGCTTGTCGTTTATTCTTGCTGTCCAGCTGCAGACCGGTGACTGCAGTGTATGCTGCATTTATGGCTGCGTTTGGTAACGGGCATCTGCAGCGTTTGGATTGGTCACGTTGTGCTGACTTAAGCCTCCGTGGCAGGTGCTGGGTCTGGGGAATTACCAAAGGATGTGCCCCGACCGAGGCCTTAGTTCCACATCGCTGTCAGCTCGTAGCACCTTATACAGTTTGGCTGCCTTTTGCAGGCCGATGCCACCCGCATTCTCCTCAGCACCGCCAGTGTCCGTCAACCCATATCACGCGATGCGCTCGGTGGACCTGACTTTTGAAAGCTCATGGCGCAGATGCTGGAGGAAATCTTGTTCCACTTAGTTGTGTAGTCTGACTACGAGGCATTACAAGATTCACGTCATTTTGCTGTTGCGGCTTTCAGCGTTTTTCAGCATTTGCAAGTGTTTGAGGAACTGGTGGGCGCCCGCCAAGTTCCGTGGCACGCTCGGAGATTGTTGTGCTTCTTGGTGCGCATTTTGGCGCCCGGGACTGTCTTGAAGCCTTTGTGGCTGAAGTGTTCTCAGCCCTCCGTAGAAGGACTTCATGCCTCACGTTTTACAGCTCGCCAGAAGGCATCATCTTGGAGGTCCAAAGTGAGAGCGTGACGTGAAGGTTAGGACTGCTTGTGGTCGCGTTCTCCACAGTCATACGATTGTAAGTACTGTAGCAGCTGTCCTTGGCATGGCCATTTGCTGCAATGGAGCGCCGGCAGAAGTTTGTGGCCAAGGCCGTCGAGCAGCTTGGAGCTCCAAGATTTTCAGCCCCAAGGCCCTATAGGGCCCTAAGGGGAAGTGGACTCCTTGCTGCAGCCCAAGGCAAGCGATCAAATGCTTCAGCAGCGGCCACTGGGGCACAGGAGAGACGGGAGGTTTCAGGGAATTTCAGGGCCTCTTTGAAAGTTCTTGGGTGCCTGATCACTGTGATCCTTTTGAACAGCAATCCTGGCATTCCGTCTGCTTCAAAGAGCTTAGACTGCCCTCGAGCTTCTGCCTTGAACCCACCCCATAAAAAGCTCCTCCTGCGCCAGGACAAGCGAAAGCCAAGGCTGCAGTGCAGCTCATGGAGGGAATGCAGGACTCCGAAGTCGGCCCATGTCACATGCAGATGCGCAAGTCTGGAAGCCTCGAGCCCCCGATCCGGAGCCTTCTTTGAGGGGTGTTGTAGGCAGTTGAGGTGGGAAATGTGCAGCGTTTAGGTGGGGGCACCCTCAAGAAGCCAGGCAGGTCTTAAATGTCTTAGTTGTGTTCTGTGCGAGTCAGTGTTTGACGATGGGGGGGTCATTGACACATCGCCTCGCCGGCTCGGCTCAGACGTGAGCCCGTGGATGTTTGCCATGCTCAGGCCGGAAGCATGCCAATTTTCCTCAGCGCAGCTCATTTCTTGGAGTTCTTGCCCTGTTGAAAGAACCATAAAGAACCCTCCTGTGACGAGTGACGAGCTATACGTGACAGATGTCCATTGTCCATTTCGCCCCTTGAAGGCGCGTTTGCAGAAAGCCTCCCCGGTTTCCGGCGCTTGCTGTCTGCACTGGCCTGGCTTTCGGCGTCAGTCGGCAGCTTGCTGGCATTTGTTGGCATTTGTTGGCATTTGTTGGCATTTGCTGGCATTCAAGACACTATATCTGTGAGATTAAGTGCGTGCCTCCGTGTGTGGTGCTCGTGCTCAGTGATGTGAACCGAAGGCAGCTGAAACGAAATCTTCCGCGCTCGGGCTTGCGCAGCGCTAGACCTAAGACTCTGAGGTGCTTCTTCGAAGCAGCGCCGATTGGCATCAGCTGCCGGCGGAGGCTCGCCTGGAGCAGCATGTCGCTTGCAGCGGCTGGCGAGGCGACGGCGGCCACTGGCCTTGGGCCGCTCCTGGACAGCCAGGGCAAAGAAGTTGATGGAACCGACTTTGGGGGAAAGTCAGTGGCGCTCTACTTCGCGGGCGAGTGGTGTCCGATGTGCCGTGCCTTCACCCCCGAGCTGACCGACTTCATGAAGAATGCGGCTGACAAGACGGTGGTGTTTGTGAGCTCCGACTTCACCAAGGAGGAGTCGCAACGGCAAGTTCTCATCGAGTGTAACTTGCAGCTTCTTTGATGTTCCTTGTGCTTTGACCTTCGTGTTTAAACCGAAGCGGCCTTCGAGGATCGGAGACTGTTAGCTCCCTGAGAGGAGTACGATCAACACCGCGCCCACCTGCCGAGCCAAGTCCTCTCCGTGCCATTTGGCTCCGAGATGCAGGAGATGGAAGGGAAATTCCGGGATTTGTCACCCTCCCTGTACGAAAAACCCTACTCACTTCCCGTTGTGATTTTCGAGGGGTTCTACTGGAGGGCAGGCCTGCAATTGTCAAGTGCAGCAAAAGCCAAACAAGGGTCTTTGGTTGATGGTTACGTTCCTGTTGGAACTCTTGAGAAAATCGGCAGTATGTTCTATGTTCTGTTTGGCCTTGTGTGACTATATATAAAGGCTTTTGGTGATGATACTACTGATTTCTCTTTCATAAGGGTTCTTAAGGGTCAGAGACGTGAGTCTGCGAACGTGTCCTCGAATCATGCAAGTGAACGCGCGAATGAATGGCCTATTGGATGAAAGGGTCATAGAGTGAATGGTTCACCCGCCATGAAGATAATATAGGTGAGTCTAGTCAAGCTATCCAGACTGCTCCAGGATTCGCTCAAGAGCAAATTCCGCCTTTGGGGTGGTCGCGAGATTCCGAAATATGGGGGCGACCGACGTGGTGGCATTCCTGCACTGGCCCCGTCCTAAGTCCTGCTTTGCCTTGTCCGATGTACACCGGAAAGTCGCTCAACCTTGAACCGGAACTCAGGTTTAGGGTTCTTTGTTTGCCTTCAGTGGCCGAGTGCTAGGTGGTGATCAATCCCGCGGGAGAAGAGGTCAAGTACCTGGACGCAGAGTCAAAGGGAGGGACCGCCCTAACAGAGTGGTAATGAGTGGTAGCATGTTGTAGCTCTGCCTCCATTGATTCCATGCCTTTAAACTGGCCGTGGTGATGTCGACGACCCGAGCTGCAAAAGCCAGCAGTCGGTTCTGGTGAGTCTGACAATGGGTTTTGAAATGTTACAATCTTGGATTTGAACAGGGTTCTTCGGATTAGGGAAGTTGAGAGCTGGCACCGGTCAGGACTCATCCAGCAGGTTTGCATTGTGATTTTGTTCTAGGACAGGAGCACGGCGGAAAATGGAGAGAACCAATTGTCAGCGTTCACACAACCCTGGTATTGAATCGCTTGAAGCTAGCATTCGGACCAGTTTCTAGGCAAGACCTGGAGGTGCCGCTCAGCGACGCATGTCGAGACTTCAAAAACCAAACCTTGAAGCAAAAGCTTCCCCGCGGTCTCTCAGAATCTGCAGGAGGCGTGCGTTCCCGACCTGGATCTCGCCTTGCTGCTTCCGGCCCGGAAGTATGTTAGATTGAGATTTGGGGATGTTTCCGGGGGTTCTCCATGCTTCTCTGGTTCCTGATCTTGGGATATGGTCCAAGGCTTGGCGGGCTCTGCCTGGCTCAAGCTGCAAGCGGATGCTGGGCTGAGGCGCTCTCGTTCGGGCCTTAAGGCTCTGTGGGATGTTGTCGGATGTTGTTGGATGTTCTTGTTTGTTTTGTTCCGTTTCGTTTCGGGCTCTTTGGACCTGGTTCCGTTTGACATTCTTTTCGGTTTGGGGGTTCACTTCGTTTAGGGTTAGAGGTTAGGGAAGGCAGGCTGAAGTGTCCTCGGTTCCTACTGCTCAAAAGCCAACACGTGCAAGGTTGTGTTGCAAGCGCTCTGCCGACATTGCAGATGAGATTCTGAAGGCCGTTCTGCAGTCTTGTTGGCTCTGCAGGTTTTTGGTTTCTGGGTTCTCAGGTCCGGCCTCGCTCAAATCATCGAAGCTTGGCTAAACCTTTTGAAGGACCGGCTTCTCCACGGATGGTTGGAGGAGGCCAATGCGTTCACACCTGGCGACGTCGTCCAGTTCACGGGCGCACACTGCGCCCAGCTAACAGGGCTTGTCATGGGCCCATCGGTTTCCCAGCTGCAGGGAGAGCGAGGAGGTGCAACAGTCCAGCCTCAGCATGCCTCACCAGATGTGTCCTAGATGACTACATGGCATCCGTCCCAGGCAGAATTCGGATCATGGCATGTTCGCGTGACAGGCACGTGCTTGGGATGCTGACACACCCCCACGAGCATCAAGCGTTCGGATCTCCCCATGAAGACCCAAAGGAAACTGGGGCCCCAAGCCTGAACCCTCCAATCTCCAAAGCCCGAAAGGCCGGCAAATATCAGTCAACCCTAGTGCAGACCCTATGGCATTAGCCGGCCCTAGACCCCAGAGTTCCCATGCCACCCTTGAACACCAAACCCCTAAGAACCCGAAACCCCTAAACACCGGAAACTCTCAGAAGTCAACTCTCCTCCGCAGGCCCTGCCACGGAGGCTGCGGCAGCTCCGGGCCCGTTGGAGGCAGCGACGCCGATGCCGAAGGCCTCCCATCAAAGTTGTATCTGTTGGTTGTAACGCTTTGGGGTTGAGGTTTTAGGGAGGCCTATTTTTCGGTATGGTTTTTGGGGTGCTTTTTGTGTTCGTAGATTGGTGGTTCCCTGGTCTGCGGTCCTCTGCTCGCATGGTCTGCTGATCCTCTGGTCCCATTGAGCACACCGCAACGCGAAATCGAAAGGAGATGTGGCCCACTCATCCTCGCATCATTCTGGGGGCAGCTACACATTCTTAAAGTTCTTTGAGCTTTGTGCTGCTGGCCGTGTCCTAAACCGCTTGATGTGTTTTTCAAGCTCTCAACGCGAAACGCTGCCCAGGCAGTTCTGTTTTACTCTCTGGTCGTAGCTTCCCCTAGACGTTGTAGCGCTTAGAGCTTTACGCTGAAGCAATCAAGTTTGTGGTTTGAATATTGTGGTCATAAGAAAGATGTTTAGGGATCAAGCCCTCGCTCTCATGCTTCAACCCTCCTATTCCTTTTTACTTCTTGGAAGGCTGTGGAAGTGGCAGGTGAGGTGCTGGAGGTCAGGGCCTTGGGCGGAACGAGGCCAGGGAAGGGTGTTGAAGTTCGGGGGATGCAGAATCAAGGTTGAGCGTTTTTTGGGACATCGGGGGGATGAAAAACGGATCTTCGCTGGGTTTTCGTCTATCCCCGTGTCCGCTCCATTGATACCCGCAACCCTAACCGGACACCCAACTCGCTTAGGGGAATCACGATCTTCAAGCCGCAAATCGCAGTGGTCTTGGTGGTCATGCAAGAGAATCTCTATTTCCGTGATGTAAAAACCCCAAGGTCCGAGAGAGCGAGGCCACCTTGCTCACGTTGCGGCCGGACACTCGATCCCCACCCACCATGTCACTCTCTGGAAGCTGCAGATGTCTCGAGCCGGGTTGAGGGTGTTGTGTGTGTGTGCATTGTGTACATCACGGACTGCAAACTCGAGTTGTTGGGGCTTGTCCAGGCTTTCTGACGAACAGCAGCTGCGGTGGAAGGAGCTGGAGGGGGAGGTGCCAGAACTCTTCCAGAAGAGGACTGGAGTGGAACCTCAAAACCCCATGATGGAAGTGTTCGATGTGATCAGCGATTTCGCGAGCCGGTGCGGGCTGTGAGGATGAACTCGGGCAACGAGGCTTGAGCCGGGAGCTGTGGAGCTTTTGCAGATCTTAGGAGTGAGGATCTTCGGGCTACTAGCTGCTATGAGTCGTGATTCTTTCCGTCCTTTTGCAGCATGACTTCTGCTGTCTGTAATGCTGGTGATAGCCTGGTGAGTCGAGCCATGTGAGGCCAGATGGAGAAAGCGCCTCGACTTACAATACATTACATGGCATAACAGTAGGTCGTCCTGCATGCAGAGAAGATGGACTATCAGTTGCAGAGAACGCAGCAGGCTGCCCTGCATGCAGAGAAGACGGACGTTGCAGTTGCCGAGAACTTGCGAAGCAAAGATTTCAACCAAGGTTGTTTAGTGCGGCTGCCCAGCAGTTTCGACGGGGGCCTCTGATAGGGTCATCTGCAGAGGCCGACAAAGATCGCCAACACCTTTGCATGTTGTTTGCGGATGGCACGTGGTGTGTTGAGACCATTGAGACCGTTAAGACCAGGGAGTGTGACTCGGAAAACTCGCTTGCCAAGCCGTGCCAAGCCTGCAGCAGGATTCGGGACTTCCGCTGGAGCAGACGTTTGCTGCAACTCTGTATGACTGCATCCTGGAGCATCATCAGAGCTGCGGCACGCAGGTTGGCAGCCCGAGAGACGCTGGTTTTTGCAAAACCAGAGAGTTCCGATACATGCTTGGCTCGACTGCAGGCGGAAATGGTGGTAGATGTGCTGGGATGCCGCCCAGCTCTGGAACTTGACGACCCTGTCCGTGCACTGACCGCCATGATCAAGGCCTCCCGAGTTTCTGCCATCTCAGCTTCAAGCGAGCAAGCAACTCTCTGAGACCAGGTGCTTCCGGCCTGCCCGCGCCTAAGCGGTTCGTGGCAAGTCTGTACCATCCACACACCTGCCTCAGAGCCCTTGGAGCCCTGTACAGGTCTCAAAACTCTCATTGTTCGATGCCTGGCCGAAGTGGAGTCTGGCGACGTGGTGACATGTGTTGGCTGCAGTGCAGAAACCTGTTTTCGGGTCTTGCTGTACTTGCTGTCATCGCATCACGCCCATCTCCCTTGCGGGAGGACGTGACGGTCTGTGTAGCTGAGGAATGTGTGGTCCAGAAGTTCCGGAGGAGTCAGGGGTGCAGCTGGTTTCGGATGTTGAGCACTTGGACCAAAGGCAAACCAGAAGCTCCAACTTTCCCAAAGCGAAGTTGCGTAAACCTTAGGCCCAACCCCTTTGAGGACTACAAGAATATTCAGGATGTGGACGGCCGCTCCCTCGTTCTTGAAGTGAAGCTCCCTGGTTCCAAGCTGGGCTACGGGTTTCTGCTTGAGTAGACGTTGGGGGCGCTTGATTCCCTTCAGTCTAGATCTCGACTCCAAACCTGACAGGGGTTTCGGGCTTCAAGTACGCGGCAGTACTGTTGGCGAGGGCAGTATTGATCAAGCATTTGGTTGTCGTGGTTTTTCGCATGGCCCCTAAGCCCTCTACATCGCACAGCGTACCATATCCACGCCTGCAACTTCTCTATAACAGTTTCTGACTACAAGGCATGGCCTCTACCACGACCTCTACCCTCAGTCGCAGGCCTTTCATGTATAAGAGGTGTCAGGTTTGCCTTAGCTGTCAGGTCGGACGGATCGGAGTGTTTCGAGGAGTTACCCTTTTTTTTCCACATGTGTCAGGCTGCATTGTAAGGACAGTCGCTATGCCAAAATCATGCTCGTACCCTGCAGGCCGATTTGGTCATCGCCATGAACGTGCCTTGTTGATGGAGAGCAGAGAAGCTTGCAAGGCTTTCTATGGTTGTTGCGAACAGGAATTGCAACTTTTGTTAGACATCAATTATGGTTCGACTACGATGCTTAAGTTGAGAGAAACCGGGTTGCCGATTTTTGTGGTTACAGCATTGGTTCGATTCCGGTTGGCACATCATGAATATCATAATGTATATGGGGGTGCGGAGGGTCTCTCTCATTGGTGCAAAGCCCACGTATGTATCTGCGTACGCGCTGCAAGACCAATACGTCCAGGGTTTCGGCGGAACTCGGGCTTATCGCTGCAGGCCGAAGTTCGGGGATGCTCGTGAGAGCAGTGGTTTCTCAGAATATTGTGGACTGAATGTCGGTGGGTGTGTCTTGTTCCTTGTGGTCTATATTGCAGAACAGAACAGCTCCTTGAATCGTGATGCGGAGGTCCTCATCTCTCACCATGCCCAAACCACATCGCTGACCACCGAACCCACCGGCAGGAAAACGGAAGTGAACAGGGAGACCAACAAACTAGCCAAAAGTCCGTGGCATTTGTATTGGCATAGGCAAAAGTCAGGATTCCTGGTGATTCTTTCAAACCCAGGCCTGTAATTGAGAAGGCATGCGACGTGTCACACGCACTGGGGAACAATGAGGTGAAGATTTGGGACGGGGTATGGGCAGGAAGCAACCTCTCGTCAAGAAAGGGTTCCCAATTCCAAGCAAAAATCCAAGTCAAGGTCGCAAACTTCATCACGTGGCACAGAAGGGGATCAGAGGCTTTGGATTTGGAACCCTGAAAGCGTACTCCTGCCCTTCCCTAAACTTAAGCCTTCTGCCTCATGTAAACAAGCGGCGGAAAGAAGCACGGCCCAAGGGTACAGGGCAAGTACAAGCACAAACCCCAAAGTAATCTGGTTTCTCCGAAGCATGGCAGTGCACATAGGGGTCTCATGTCTCATATGCAAGGCAGGGATAGGCGTGCCCCAGCAGCCTGGCCGCATGTTGGCAAAGTGCAGGATTCGGATTGACTCGTACGGGCTGGAGACCCGGTGGAGGGCGACACGAGATCATGTACGACCGCCTCAAACTGAAACGCATCCACCAACTTGTGTCCAACACCAAACGATCTCCCCTTCAAGAGTTGCGTTGGCTGCAAACTCCAACTACTGTAGTTTTATCGGCTTGCACATCCTCCCTGTGGCTGCTACGTCCCTGGAGCCCTAAGGCCCTTTAAGGCTTCGGCAGCTGTACAGTACCAAGCAACCAAGCAACCAGGTATGCCAAAATGTGGCGCCCGACCCTGGAAGTCCTGTCACGGTGCCAGAGGGGTTTGCTGGCCTGCGGCCCAGACACACGAACCGCTGGCTCCAATGACTTTGCAGAGCAGGGGTCTTTTGCAGTGTTTCTTACAAGTGCCCTAACCTCACAAGCCTCAAACACCGAGTCGTGCACTTGGTGACAGACACTGTTAGATGGCGACTCCCTCACATTCAGGTGGTGACGTCATATTCTCCGGGAGAGCTGGTCAGGGAGGTCCTGGATGCACAGCAGCATGGGTTCATGTGAGATCTTTTTCCCTGGACAGGAGAGGCTGCTCCGGTGCCTTTGGCCTCTGCGCATCTCACCGTCGTCGCCTGGCCTTGCGGAGGCTGTGGCAGATGGATTCTCCTCCAAACCAGTTTGACTGCATGCCGCAATCCTCAAAAAAGCAAAACCAGACCTTTGAAATCAGATCCTGCCAAAGCTGCGGGTGGGCGAGACGTGTGTTCTGCAGCGGAGCGCGCTCGCGAGCACGCTGACTGGTGTGGAGGCTTCGCTGATTCGCCAGTTCTGAGTGTCAGAGCTTGTCTAAAGAGCTTGGAGCGAAAGCGAGCAGCTGTTGCTTTGGACGCATGAAGTCTGTGGTGGGTTTGGGCGGCTCTGGGACTTTAAGGGGGACACAGTGGATAGTCCTCAGAATTTGTATCAGTCAGAGATCAGGTCCCCCCGATGCAATGAAGCGTTCATGGAGTGCACGAGCCCTGTGTTCTATGTGCAGGTGAGCCTCAAGCGAGGGGACGCCCTCTGCCCGGTTGTAAGATGTGAGTTTTCGTGTTGGTTTCAAGTCTTGTCAGGCTGCAGGTGCACAGTGCAGTCCAGTACGCTGACCTTGGCTTAGGTTCTCAAGTTTGCCAACGGGGCCGACTCAGCCAACGATGGACTGCACGTGGTTTGCAGAGAGACGCTGCTCTACGTCTGCTGCTTTCGTTTCAAGAAAGAGTTCAGTGCAAGTCTAGCTAAGTGGCTGAAGCATGTTAACGCGTGGCCTTGGAGACTGTCGGAGACTAGAGTGACTAGAGGTCGGACCAAACCTGACGCCGGGCCGGAACCGAAACTTCGGGAAGCTGATCTTGCGGATGGGCTTGCCGTCGCGAGAAGTTCAAAAAGCCGGCGTTGCCTGAGATTGACACAGTTTGGTACATAGTTTGCAGCTCAAGATTGTCTTGTAAGATTGCATGCTTGTAATGCTTGTAGCACAAGGTGCCGAACCGGCTTGAAGGCGCCGCCATCGGAGACCTTCGACCCCGAGGCGGGAAGGCGCCTCTCATTCTCGGAGATCCTGGACGCTTGCATGCGCAGGTTCTCGGAGCTGCTGGGGCGACGGTGCCGTTCTCAAAGTTTTCTAGATTGTTTGTTTTTGTTTACAGTTTACGCATGACTTTCACGAACCAGGACTTCGCGGTATAGTGTAGTGACTTGGCTAGATGCATGTCCCGGTGTCGTCCAGTTCCCTCAGGGAAAGCTTCAGCCAGAGCAGCTGAGGCTCGGATTTCTGATTTGTCGGTTGCAGTGGCAAGTTTTGGTCTGCACTTCTCTGCTCACCATGATGCCATGGGAGGCCGCAAATCATGGGCCCCGTGAGGTGCGCCGCTTTGCGTGCGCCGGTGCATGGGACTCGTGCTTTCCACTCTTAGACAGGTCTGCTCTTGCGAGTATTGAGAATATGGACAACCGCTTCGACCGGAAAGCATGGCACAACGTCAAGGCGCTGCTCTGCTCCGAGTGCCGCAGCACGTCACAACGGGGTCGGTTTTGGCCACTTTGCAGTGCCTCAATTGGAGGGCCTGTAACCTAGAGTGCTTTGTATCAGAAACTTTGTGTCTAAGCGTTGTGGATGTCGTGATCCACATCTCTCGAACGCCAAGTCTCCAAGGGAGATGCTATGAGATGCCGTGAGGCGACCACGTCCGGCCTCTGGGAGTATCCCGACCTCACGAAGCCCGAGCCATCGCCTAAGACCTAAGAAGAGGATGGCAGGTGGCACATGGTGGCATCTGGGAATGTGCAATGAGCCCGCTGGCGCTGCCAGGGGTAACATGTTGATGAGCGCCGAGTTTGTGAACAGCCGGCGGCTTCGCTTTTTGTTCTGATCGTGGCCCGGTATGCTTGATTGAGCATGGGTGTCAGCAGATGAGCCGCATTTTGCCATATCAAGGCTGGTTGGAAGACTTGCTTTCTGCCGACAGCTTAACCGATCGCTAGAAATGGTTCGGGACTCAGTGATGCAATGTACAAAACTACTACATCAACACACAGAGGGCATGCACACTGAAGATTTGGATTCTTTTGTCTCAATAACCCACCCGTCCCCCCCCCCCCCGCCCTAGCCCCTCCTTCAAGCGAGGCCCTTATCAAGACAATTCCGACGAAGCCTGGGCCTTGGAATCGGAAAAGAGAGTCGTTCTGTGCTTCATTGATGCTGTCCAAGGCGATTTTGTGCCCCCGTCCTCGGATCAATTTTGGTGGGAGGGGAACAGGCAACCTGGACGCTTGGGCCGCTATTGGCATAGGTCGTTTTCGAATAGACATCTCCAGTTTCCCTGTTTGTCAGGCAGAATCGGGGGGGTTTGTCCAAGAGCTGTGCAACCGAGGCCTCTGGTACAGCCTATCCCAACTCGAGGCGCCACCATATCTGAGAGCGGGTGACCGCATGTGGCCGCGCTTGGGGTTGCAGACCCTAGCTTCGACCTTCGTGAGCCCCGCCCTTGCTCAGCGGTCCCTGGTTGAGCAAGGTAGGGAGATGTACAGCTTTGTGCAGCTCTTGGCCAGGGGGCGTCTCTAGGCTCGGCAGCGTTTGCTGCACCAAGAGCCTCGTTTTGAAACGCCCCGGCAGCTCGAGCGCAGCACATCTTAATTCTCAGGGATGCAGGTTTTGAGGGCAGGGGCTCAAGGCGGCCACCTGAGCCCGCCCTGTCAGAGATGGTTTTACGGCTGCAAAACAGCAAAAGAGGCCCTGTTGCGACATTTTGGGATGCAGTTTTGGGTGGAACAGGAGTGTAGAGCTGCCGGTCACTTGTTTCCGACCTAGAGCTGGGCGTGCGCATGTACGATCTGCGTACAGAGCTTGAGGTGGTGCCCTGCCTTGCCACCACTTCGACCGAGACACGGGATTCTGCAGCCGTTGTGAGCTTTATCGAGTCGCCCATAGGGTGTGCAGAAGCATCTCAAGGCGATAGTCCATGCAGCGGCATGTCCCAGAGCAGCTGCAAGGATTGCTTGCTGCACTTCATAGCATTCCAGTATGACAGCCGGCCTTTCTGTAAACTTTGAAGGCCGTGATGCAACAAGTAGCCATCATTTCCAGCATTCACCTGAATTGCCTCCTCAGCTCAGCAAAACACATAACTAAGCCTGAACCTTGATCTTCAAACACAGCAAACACCAAACCCGGAATGCTCTCCCAAAACCCTGCATCTGTTTCAGTGGGTGCCCCTCCGGGCCAAAGTTGCCGGGAGCTCCAACCATGGTGGGAGGAATCTCCTTCAGGCGAGAGAGTTGATGAAGTGGTTTGGCATGAAGGGTTTTGAATTGAAGAGCCGAAGGGCCGCAGTGTTCAACGGTTCTAGTCATGGCCTTTCATAGTCACTGGTGCCGAAACGCCCCCTTCTCGCAAAGGCTCCGCCCCAGAATTGGTTAAAAGCAGTTGTGGCGGTTGCTTGGAGGGCGGGCGCTTGTGCAATAATGACTTGGGGAAAGAGTCGGCTGCTGTGGCCTGCAGTTGTCGCGACAATCCCTGGTGGCTACGGCTGTTTTCAGCCAGGGTCTCAGAAAACTTTGGCTGGGGGAGTGCTGGTCTGAAACCTTCTCGAAACGAGATGAGCTTGCTTTGTGTGTAAAGGTGTAGCGTCGAGAACCGTCATGATTACATGGTGGGTTATCGACTTCGCTGCTTAGGTCATTCTCTGCACTATGGCAGCGTTGACGTGCAGAGCCAAGTTGACAGCTTTTGTCAGAAGCGAATCGTCTGCAGGCGCGCTGTCAGAGCCACGCGAGTGATACGCTGTACAAGACGTTGCAAGCAGTATTGGTCGAACCAGCGGTAGCAGCTTGGCCTACTAAGTGGGGCGATCTACCTGCAGTTTACGCAGCTGGAGGGCTACGATTACATGACTGACCTGCCCTGGCCTTGGATGCATGAACCGACAACTGCTTCCAGGGGCAATTCTGGCATTTGGGACATTGCCGTTGCAAGATCTGCGGCGGCAGCTTTCAGGGTTCTGGCCATGTGATACAGTATGATCGATGATGATGATATTTTTCAAGGTCATCTGCAGCAAAGATTTCTCAACATCTTTTCATGAGTCTCCTCCTTGTAGTTTTTTGCTGTCCTTGTCGTTGCTGTTGCTGGTTGGTGCCGCTGCTTGTGGTGTGGTTCTAGAACCGCGAATTGCTGCTGCTGCTGCTGCTGCTGCTGCTGCTGCTGCTGCTGCTGCTGCTGCTGCTGCTGCTGCTGCTTGTACTCGTTGTCCGAGCGCTACAAGCATCTGCAGCCAGGTATAACATGCAGGACCCGTCCACGCCGAAGGATCTTACTGGTCACCATGTGAGGTCAGGCTGATCAGACTGTGAGGTTTGCTCGCTGCAAGAATGCGCTGTGGCTTGCTATGACCTCTGTTTTCACTTCGGGTTCTGCCCTTGCATCGCTTCAGCCTCAGGCCAATTGTGCACCCCCAGCAAGCCAAGCGAAACCAAGCTTGAAGTCTGTTGCAGCCAACTCACCGCTAGTCATCAGGCTTATAGTGTGTTTTTCGTTAATAACTTCCTTGATCGTCCTGCATCGGCCTGTGGATGGAAGAATGCCGACCCTAACGCTGCCGGTGGGGGCCATGAGGCCCAAGCTCCCCGCCAGTCCCGTGCTGAGCCCCTCACGGAGCCCGGCACGGAGCCTCCCGGGCACCCTGCTGCCACTCACGGGTCAGGGCACCTCGCCGGCGGTCAGCCCCACGAAGGCGAGATCAAAGTCCCCACAGCCCGGTCCCCCGAGCTTCGACTTGAAGGCCTTGATCCCGGATCACCTCGATGAAGACATCTTCGCACGATACGACTTCGATGACAAGGAGCTTGGTACCGGGGGGTTCGGAAGTGTCTACCTGGCCAAAGACAGGAAGATGGCAGACCGGCAGGTGGCAGTCAAGAAGGCAGTGATGCTTGACGGGGACATGAGAGAGAGCTTCCAGCAGGAAGTGAGGATCATGAAGGAGCTGGACCACCCTAACATCTGCCGTGTTTATGAAAGCTACGACCACGGCCGTCACGTCTTCTTCGTGATGGAGTACTGCGCCGGCGGGGACCTCTTCGACCGCATCCTCAAGCAACTCAGACCGGCTCCAGAGTCCTCCTTTTCAATTCTTGTTCTGAGTTCTCAGCCCTTATCGTTGAGCCTGTCTTGAGAGGGGAAGGAGACAAAAACAGTCCAACTAGGATGACTACTGTAGGAGGGGGGAAGCTTGAGAAAAGTCGTAAAAGAAGGGATTGCGTGCATCACCAAGGCAAGGGGGCACCTCTGAGGCCCAGGCTGCCGAGATCCTCCGCCAGGTCGCGGGCGCCTTGAAGCGGCTTGGACCGCTTGGCTAGAATTTCCCGAATGATCGTTCAACTTCTCTTGAGACCTCTCAATTTTTTTTGCGTTTTCTCTGTGACCTTCTTTGTAAGATCTCGAAAACCCTCTAAGCAAACTCGAAATCTCACCGCAAAAATGCTGAGAGAAGGCACGCACACGACAAGGGCGTCGCCCACCGGGACCTGAAACCCGAGAACGTCTGCTTCTGCTCCGAGGACCTCCAGGACACGCGGGTCAAGGCGAAGACTTTTTGGGGGTTGAGAGAACAAGAAAGAAGGACGGGCATTTGTACCCTCAAAACGGGAGGTTGGGACGGAAGGACTTCAAGGAAGAGGGCTCTCAGATCTCCAGCCTGGGTTCGTTTTGAGGGGGCTCTCTTTCCCCTCCCTCTCCCCGCACTCCCCACTCCTAAACCCACTCAAGGTCTTCATATTTTTTTGCCACCACCCCCGGGCCACCCCTCTTTTCAAAGACGCCTGGAGGTCATCGACTGGGGTCTGGGCTTCTACTTCAAGCGCTTCCGCATGAACACCGCGGTGGGCAGCGGAGCTTATGCTGCCCCGGAAGTCCAGCGTCCGGTTGGTGGTCAGTGGCTCAGAAAGACCCATGACTTCGTAAAGCCCTGAGCCAACACTTTTCAAAGGATCGGCATAGGATTGCCAGTGCGCTTCTGCCCAAAAGCCAAAACCCCAACAGCCACATCCATCGAGGCACTCCCTGCTGCCCAATATGTTTATACACCCGCCCCAACCCCCCCCCTAACCCCTCAAAAAACAGCAAAACCTTCAGAGGTGGCGTCTACACCAATGCCTGTGACCTTTGGAGTCTGGGTGCGATGGCCTGCGTCATGCTTTCAGGCTCCCGGGCCATGGGAGGGGATTCTTCGGGGATTCTGGAGTTTCTGGGAAGGAGTTTCGTGCGCTTAGGGTTTGCGGTCTTGGGGTTGGGATGGACCTTTGCTGCAAAGCACCCGGAAGTTCTAACCGTCACTGCAGATCTCTACAGTCTATGCAGTACTTGCTGGGAGAGCATACTCGGCATCTCAGGCGAACCTCCCTACTATGGTGCGAATTCCTGCAGCGAAGAGCATGACTTTGCACCTTGCGGGCCTATATGGGACGCTTTGTCGTCTGATGCGCGGTCGTTGGTGACCTCCCTGCCACTGGGATCACTTGGGCCTTACTAGTACTGTTGCCCCCTGATGCCTAACAACCTAAACGGTGGGGATTGTCCGGCGGTGGGTCTATTTTAGATTGCTGCCGTGCGAAAACTTTACACAGTTCCGGTGACACTTCCGGGGGATCGCGTTAGTCAGGATTCAAAATGCATCCCTTCCATCGCAGTGAAGCTCCATGTTAAGTTCAAGTGCTTCAATCGCCGCAACATCAGAGCTGTCACAGAATGTCCCGCAGAATGAGGCTGAAGCGGGAGCCATCCCACCGGCCCAGTGCGGACCAGGTGCTTAGCCACGCATGGCTGAGGTACCTCGGTTGAATTTTCGGTTGAAATCATTTCCAGAGATTTCTGGCATGTTGGGCGGCTTAAGAAGTCTTGGCGAGGGAAGAGATTCCTTGCTGCCCAAACCGCAAAAGACCAAAGAATTTTCAAAACCCTAACAGCCTCATCAAACTCGACTGCCAGCAAGGATCCACGACGAGCAGCCAAGCATCATGAGCTCCAAGACGGAGGTGCTCAAGAACTTGTGTCTCGGACGCGGGCAGAACTTCAGCACAAGCCCCCCTGAAAGCCCCCAACCCCCAAACCCACAGCTATGTAGTTCCTCGTATTATATGGCATGCCTGCGTGGATGCCGCAAGACTCCACATGCTGAGGCGACGCTTCAGCAACACCTCCACCTTCCTTTCGCTGTGCGCAGCCTCTGTGGCGCAGCAACTTTCACGACGTGGGCTCAAGGAGCTTGAACAGGCCTTGTATGGTACCGCGTACCGAGTGCTTAAGCCCGAGTACACTGAGTTTGCTATGAGTACCACTCGCTTTTCATGCAGGTCTTCAAAGAGCTAGACACAAATGGAGATGGCATACTTGAGCTCCACGAGGCCGAAACGACACGCAGCTTCCCAGCTATGGGCTGTTAGGCTGCCATGGAGAACTGCTTGTGCTTGCACGACGCGGGGCTGGGGCTACCTGTTCCCTCATTTCTACATATTCTACCTTTACCACTTTACCATCAGTGAAAGAATGTGGAATAGTTAGACCGAAGTTTTATCTACATGAAGTTAAATCTACATCAATCCACCTGTATTTCTGCCATGTTATTATACCTTTGCCATCAGTGTAAGAACGTGGTGTTAAACCGAAGGTAAACCCCTCGAGTCCAGTGACATCCAGGGGGCTGGACATAGAAAGGGAGTGGGCAGGGGCCAACAAAAGGAGCAGAAGGAGCAGGCATTTCCTTGCAATCCCATCTTCGCCTTGAACCCCCACTCCGAGCTCCCTCTAAAACACATTCCATGGAAGGTGAAGGCCGGCTTCCACCAGATCCTGGGCCGGGGAAGCGCGCCGCTTGCCTGAAGGGACTCCGGAGATACTGCGGCTGGCCCTGGAGCACAGGTATGCTCCAAGGGCCTTCAGAACTTATGTTCATGTGCCCCTTGCCACTCGAATTCCAGCATCTAGCATCTGGCATCTCGAATCTAATAGCCCAGGCCGCTGGAAGAGATCGAGGAGCATCTGCGACAGAGCAGTTTCGTGATCTGTGGTCGCAGCCAAGTGACAGGTGCATGGCAACATTTCGATCCCGCGCGCAACAACACCTCCAGAACACAATAGTTGTGAACAATGATGCTGCTGAAAACGAGGTGCACAACAACTCAACCAATAAAGAGCCGCTCAACACTAGGGTTCGAGCTTCAGCGGTGAAGAGTCCCCTGAAAACGCTTCTCTAGGCAGTTCATCAAGTACAGTAGATTCTTGGGCTCAATGCACGACAGTAGAGATGTTCGTGTTTATCTAGGCAGCTCATCTTTCAGCCCAACATGTCCGAACAGGTTCTCTTGTTTGTCTCAGCCACAGCTGTACACAAGGCTCCTGAACCTGGCTGCCTCTCAGACAGCGAAGTTAGCCCCCCGACCAGGATGTCGTGAACATGTGAGATGCAATTCAATGTGCTTAAAACAAGGCGCCCAATTCCGCCAGCTAGGGTATGGCGGATCTTGCTCAAAGGTGTCACCAAAGCCTCAAAAGTAATATGACATCAGGTAGAACTCCGTGGCACGACACCTGACAATAGGTCTCAAGCTGGAGTGCATGATTGTGAGCAGAACGAACAGATTGGCGCAAACGGCTTATGCCAATCGACAGTGCAGGAGATGTTCTCGCGCCTGGACATTGATGGCTCTGGAGCAGCTTGGACGGGGGCAGTGTGTGTGCCGAAATGAGTCAGCAAGACTAGGGACAGTGCAGCCAACATCCTGCAATTCATTGGGTGACCTCTTGATGTCCATTCAAGCCTGAGGCCATCGATTACACGGAGTTCTTGGCTGCCGGCTTAGGCAACAGGGTCAACAGTGAGGTCTGGACCTCAGCACATCCTCAGACTGCCCCCCAAATGGGTTTCTGTCGGGTTCTTCCCAGAACTTCAGGTCTTCAGGCACATGAGTACTCTGGGCCCGCAATTGTGCAGGCAAGGGTGTCTCTGAGGCAACGGGACCTGGCAGAGACGAGAAACCTCAGAGCCGCAATGCCCAACCAAAATCCCCAGCGTGAGCTGTTCACTTGCGAGCAGTTCCAGTATCACCACAGTAAATCTCATGCACGTTTGCCCGCGGAAGCTAGAATCTTCACTCCCAAGGGCTCTTTCTGCGTCAGACATTCAGTACTGCTGCAGAATCCTGGTACTGGAGCGATGCAGAGAGTCTACTTCCACTTGCTCTGACCTTCGCAGACTTGCGCAACGGCGTGCGAAAGCTTTCAAGCTGTTATTCACTGGAAAGCCCCAGGTCGAGGCACTTTGGGCAGCATTCAAGGTCGGCGCAGGGTTCGGGACATTTCGGAACGTGAGCTCAGGTGTCAAGAGCTTTCAAAGGAACCTTCAAGAGCTTCAAGGGGGGGGGGAAAGGAGGGCTAGCATAAGGTACAAGCAGGCATAAACTGCGATTCATTCCTGGATGGTTGGCAGTTTTGGTTTGGGTTTTCTGTTTGTTTGGCCGGTTGTAGCAGTTCTCTAACTGATCCTCCCTGCTGTTGCGAAGGGTGGGCTGAGTGGACACAAGAGATGTGAGAGTCACGGGTGTCAGGATGCGTCAGGCTGGGATGGTGATTGTGTGCCTCAGAAACATCAGGCATTTGACGTTCACGAGTCGGACGGCAATGTCACGGAGGCCTACGCTGCCCGCTTGGTGAGTCGAACAAGCAATTCTCTAACCACACTGTAACAGTTTCCATGGGCTCTTCTGCTCACGTGGACTGGCGGCCGAATCTTGGCGTCATGCTCCGATGTCCGGATGTTTTGTTTGAGTCCCTGAGGCAGAGATTGCTCATGTTCTCTTTGAAGCAGGCGCTGCCCGCTAGGCCTACTAAGCCTTCAAAAAAGGCGCTGATGATCTGCCCTTTGCCAGGCGCAGGCCGGATGTGGTCCGTTGAGAAGTGCCAAGAGCTTGCCAGAGAGGTCGTCCAACAGTTCGATCGTGCCTCGGACTGCGCTTCTCATCACACACGGGGCCACAGGCCGCTGTGCGTTGCGGCAAACTCAGCTGCAGGGGATGGCAATGGCTCACTGGATTTCGAGGAGTGGCTCGAGATGATGAAGCGGTGGGAAGCTGACACAGGGATGGGCCGGGATGGGCGAATCCTGTTTGCATCTCCATTGTTTGATCTGCAGTCTGTCTTGTAAAAAGGTGCAATGGCGACGACGAGTCTCCAGAGAGCAGGCATGTCTTATGTGTGCTCAGTAAGACATTCTACGAGTTACATCCTTATAGTACCAAAAATCGACGTGTAGTCCTACAGTCTAACGATGGCCAGAGACGTAAAGTTCATTCGGAATCATCGCTGCCCATTCCTTGCTGCCTGTTGCGGCACCCACTGGCTCCTCTTCAGGTCGCCTTCCAATGATCGGCGCGTCTCCCTGTAGCTTCTGGGCCGGACACATTGTGGCCTGCATGAGAGAAAGTCCATCGTTTAAAGTTGTGACTTGGGACATCTTGGGACCAATGATCCCCGTGCAGAGGCTTTCGCCCAACGTTTTGTTGTTTTAGTCTCTATTTCCCTACAACCCTAAAATCCTTAGAATGCTTGGGCCATGTTTAGACCTAGAGTGGGGGTTTTTGCGAAGGCCTCAGCGGAACAACGAGGGCTTGGAACCCTGGTCAAGAGGTGACAAAGGCCCATCCCAGAGCCCCCAGCAACTCTGAAGGACGAGTCGGGGTTTTCGGAGTGAAGACTCCATCTCGAGCGGCTTCTGGCTTGCCGGCTTCAGGCATACCTGAGGTACCTCAGTCCGCGCAAGATCGCACAAGGCGAAAGAAGCCGATGCGCGCCAGCTTGGACCCAGCACATTGCCTTTGAACATATATATATATATATATTCACATATATGTAAGTTAGCGTGGTGGCTGAGCTGTAGGCTTTACAGGTCCATGCGAAGCGCGCCTTGGTCAAAGCGGCAGCAAAGACTGCTGCAAAGCGACCAGCTTACAACCTCGGGGCTTCTCGAGGCGTTGATCTAGCATTTGCTGCTATGACACTTTATCCGCCGCATAGACACGGCGTTTACCAAAGACAGACTTGAGGGCCCGTTTCTTTTCTAGTGATCCAGGAGGATTCTAGTGTTCTTATGATGTCTGTAGACCCGACGCGACTTTACGCGTCCCATACTTTGGTATATCGCCGCTTTGGTGCCCCACAGAAGGCAACACCCGAGAATGTGTTTCGGTGTCTGAGTCGGGCAGCCAGTAGACTTGGTCCTTCTTGTCGTTGTGGAATGCTTGGCCTGCTTGGCAGATTTCTGAATTTTTCTAGATGGAAAATTGTGGCCAGCGCTCCACTCGCCAAGTTCCAAGTTCACTGTCCCTCTGAGATTCCGATTTCACTTTGTCGGCACTGAAAGGCGGATCATGAGAAAATGCACATTCCAAGTTACTTCGTGAAAGAATGCCTCCAAGATCATGAAAGGCTGTTAGACGTACGGTATGTCTCTTGGTGTCAGGATATGGACGATTGCCAGCATCGCCGCAAGCGCAGTGATGTTCTTTACCGGCACTATCGGCTGGGCGAAGCACCTAGCGTGGGGAAGCTGCCGGCACATCTTTGAAGCAAAAGTCAAGAACAACAGCGCATTTGACTTAGATCGCTGCAGGTCGCTCAGGCTAACCAGTCGCTGATGATGACCAGTGATGCCCAGCTGCACTACCGGCTTCTCGCAGTCATGTGCATCGTGTGATATCGGAGTGTATCGTGTGTCTTTGGCTTGTGTGTGCACTCACCGCATACGTAGTGCACGTCCATCTGTTTCCGAGGCATTCAACCTCCTGGCCGCCGGCTTGGCTGCTTCTAGCGCAACAGCAGCTCAGCTTGCAGGACCCTTTGGGCTTCCCGTCTTCCAAGGTGTTGATCCTGGCAGTCTTCTTCTTGGCACGCGTGCAGCCTGCTCGCAGGAAGACTAGGTTGGGGTAAGACATCACAGGGGTTCCATTTCGGCCCATAGAAACCGTACAGAGGGCTTAAGAGAGGGACCACAGAAAGCCCATAGTGGTTTACAGGGGGAGGGGGTCAGCCATAGTGGATTCCAGAGGCATAGAGGATTCCAGAGGGGATGGGTAGCCGACCCGCTGAGGATAGCACCATGACTTAAGGATCTTTCTCAAGAAGCTGTTTTGCCAGCAATTGAGAAAGTGGATAATGATGAGCATGGTGTGGAGCCTAATTTCACCACCTCTTGGGGGGTGTTGATGCCAGCCCAGAAGGGTAGTTTTTAAGGGCGAAGAGGACAAGCCACTGTTGGCTCCAACTCCTTCTTGCAAGCACAGGGTTAGGGCAACAGCAGACTTTAGACGATTGGAATGACCTTCTGGTGTCCAATCCTATGGCCGGGGAAACGGCATCCTTGCTCTCGGGAAAATTGGTCCATTATGAGGTCCATGATGATGTCCTTGCAGCCAATGCCGGAATCCTACCACAGCGCCATGAGGAGTGCCGGCGAGTTCTGTCCACCTGTTGGGTTTTCCAGGATGATGGGCATTGTGGATCGAGAGCTTGCGGAGTGGTGTCAACCAGCCAACAGGTGGACAGGGGTGGACTCGGGTAGAAATGCCTATCCAAGAATAGTTGCTAACGGTTGCGGGCTTTTGCGCGATTGACCGTTTGACAGGGCGAGCTATAGCAAAGAGTTGGACTGTGCACGCCCGGATCTTACGATCGTTCTCATACGGATGTTTGTGCTTTGCGTTGCTGCAGAGGCCGCAGTTGGATGGACTACTACTTGCGAAGAGCCCCGGGAGAATGCGCACCGGAGACTGCAGTGTTTGCGGCTTCGATTTATTTGTCCCATGACCTTAAATTATTCTACACACGATTACACACCCAGACTGCTTCTTGCAGGAGTGCCAATCCAGAGTTGACGTGCTGCGGACTCTCGGCCGCTTGTCTAAATGCCAGGAAGAGCTCACAGGGGGCGGTCCGTCTGCCGGGGCATCCTTGGCCTTACAATGGCTTCAGTGTGGCTTCTCTTGGCTTCTGTGCTAGATATACATATGTACATTTTCACATATAGGCACGGGTACATGCACATATTTATATATATATATATACACACTTTCATCTATGTCTCTACCTATTCATCTGTATATGGTTATGTACTTTTCATAGCGCATCATCGTGAAACATGAGAGACCAGACAATATAACATGGCAGATCAGAATGACAATCGATGAATGGACTATCGTAGAATAGAGCAGACTGGAATATGCAAGAATATAAAAGCAGTATCAATATATACATACATATTTACATATACATACATGTAGGCTTATTTCCTGTTTAGTCAAAATGACTTGGCGTTTGCTTCGCAGTTCATTACATGGCGTTACATTCTCGTGTACTGCATTTTGCTATTCACATATACGTATATATATATGTATATATATATATGTATTAAATATACATGTATACATACATTGATTTGAATCAGCGCTGTATACATATGTATATCAATATATATATATATATATATATGCCTCCCCCCCCCCCCCCCAGCGACCTACCCTTTTTAGGCCTTTTTAGGCCTTTTTAACAAAAAATAACAAAGAAGGCCCAAAAGTCGCGTAGTTAATCACCGGGTAATGAAGGACAGTTACTGGGACACCCACCTCACAGACCCCGATAAGCCAGCATTGGAAGAATCTACATTTTGAATCTGAAGCGGACAATGCTGTTTTTAGATGTTTAGATCAGTGTTTTTCTATGCAAATTGTGCCTTTCAAGGGCAATTAATGTTTTGTTGAGCAACTAATTTATTTATACAATTGTGTTTGTACGAGGCAAAGTATTACTCAAATAGTGAAACATTTTTCTTGGTTCTATGCGAATTTAGCTACTAGAGTAATTATTCAGCAAAGAGCCCAATTTGACTCAAGTGAATACTATTTAAAGGAGCATACTCAACCAAGATACGAAATAAACACCATTCTCAACCAAAAAATGGCAAAGTGTGCGTTTAAAGTGCAAATACTGTATTTATACAATTGTGTCTGTACTAGGCAAAGTATGCTCTCTGAAAAGTCCACTGAAATACCTTATGTTTACATATTCATGAATCGTTTTTATTTTTGAAATAAGAATTTTTTTGCGAATTTAGCTACTAGAGTAATTATTGAGCAAATAGCCCAATTTGACTCAAGTGAATACCATTTAAAGGACCATACTCAACCAAAATACGAAAGAAGCACCATATTCAACCAAAATATGGCAAAGTGTGGTTTAAAGGGCAAATAGTGCTTTGTTGAGCAACTAATGCATTGAAACAGTTGTGTTTGTACCAGGCAAAGTATTATTGAAGTACTATCTGCAAAGTCAAATGAAACACCTTATGTTTACGTATTCATGAAACAATTTTTTGAAGTATTCATTCTATGCGAATTTAACTACTAGAGGAATTCTTAAGCAAATAGCCCAATTTGACTCAAGTGAATACTATTTAAAGGACCATACTCAACCAAATACGAAATAAACACTTGCGGAAATGGAAACGGTTCTACCTACATAACAATGAGACAAAGATTGCTGAAGTATTCACTAAGGACCACTTATATACTATGTGTGAAAAGCACAATTTGCATGAGCAAGCTTAAAAATGCACAATAATGGAAATAGAAGCGGTTCTACTTACATAACGATGAAACAAAGATGTCTGAAGTATTCAATAAAGACCACATGTATACTATGCTTGAAAAACGCAACTTGCACAATCAGGCTTAAAAAATGCACAAGAATCCTAAAAAAGTACTTAGTGAAGGCCATACACAAGCAAATTCACAAATACATAAAAACATCCAAAAGCGCAAGCTTTTCAGGAGAATCTCTGGTAAAGTTTGGATTATAGGGTTTTGGGGTATTCCTGGACGAGTAGGCGTCACTTTTTAAGCAAACAGTTCTAAGCAATAAATGCTTTTTCTCAAGACAAGTATTGCAAATGCTGCTTCTAGATAATTAATCGCATTTACCAGGCAAATATTATCCATGCGAATTGAGCTACCAGAGCACCAAGTAATGGCTGAATAAGGTCTACTACACTTGAGTACAATCAAAAGATGCACTAAACACTAGCGGCTCTACTTACATAATAACGAAACAAATAGTTCTGAAGCACTACTATTTCTGAAAAGCACAATTAGCATA